GCGAGAGCAAAACCAATAGGAGAAGCAACATGACAGGGAAAAAACTAAATGTCCACTGAAACTATCCAAACCATTCTCTTCCCTTTTTGTCCTTCTGTTAAGCAACTTGGGCTTCGTCACGGGGGCATTTAATGCCAAGACTAAATTAAACTGCAATTCAGTAGCATGTATCAGAGGTGACTAAGGTCGTAAAGGGTTACACAGAGGGCACTAATTAATCACTACATCGAAAACCAGATAAAAGTAAATTCTGGAGGCTATAGAAGGTGAGTCTTTATGACCCCTTTTGGGCAACTAGCTTCTGTGACCCACCACACCTACTGGCATGTTACGTGTTCATTATTAAAATATAACATATAGGGTTACTAGTGTAAACTCCCTGAGAATCCTATATGATTGCAGACATGCAGTATCTCCATAGGCTAAGGTATGTCATATGATTGACTAGACTACAGCATTCACTCTGTTCTTATTCATGCAATGGGACACATTTTTATTCTCGCTGTCTCTCTCTCTCTCTCTCTCTCTCACACAAACACACACGCTCTCTATTTCTCTAGGGGTTTCGAGGCAGGAGGACAAAATATGTAATGTAACAAAGTAATCAATGACAGATTAACCTGAAAGCCCTCTAGTTATCAATACATAGATCAGCTGAGAAAACACCAATAAATTCACTATCTGGGATTGCTCTTTGTTTAGCATTTAGCTTACTGGAGGCTTGCAAATCAGCGTGCAAAAGAGACATTTCTGAGTACTGATCTCATGGCTTGTCGAATTTCAATATTCATCATTTAAATAACCATGACTTTGGTGACAGAAATCGGTAATTCACTCCTAATCAATATAACATTGTTATCAAACTCCATACAGTCAAGCATGATTGGCTTTTCAGACCACATAGATTTTCAAAGGGTTGGCTGCCCCCTGGTGGATAGATTCTACAGTGTTCTGTCTCCATATGCCAGATGCAATATCCTGGGTTGTGTTCAAGACAGGATGGTGCAATGTACTGAAAGTTGTCCAACTGTTACAAATGCCATAAACAAAGCCGACATGATTCCTTACTCTACATGTCAGAATAGCGTATGTCCATTCTACACAATATATTTATCTCAACACAATATATTTCGCAACACACTACTTGGAATATGAGATATTCCAATATTAAAATAAATTGCTTTTATACAGTGAAAAACATAAGAAATGACAGGAGTTTGTACAGTTCTGATATATTTCAGCACGTTTATTTATTCATTACTCAGAGGCACAGATATAATTTAAAGGGCTACCCTTCTACGCGTGCGCCCAAAAGTAACTTCCTACTAGAGTACAGCAGCATGTGAGGCGTGACAACTGAGCTGGACAGCAGCAGAAAACACACACACACACACACACACACACACACACACACACACACACACACACACACACACAGATTCTCCCTCAGAACGGAGGCTCACTCCCCAATCCCTTATAATTGCTTCATATAAAAGATTGTTACTATGTACAGAGAAAAGAGAAAGCGATTCGACAGATTTCTTCTCCTTCGACAAAGCCTCCACGGCCACCTTGAGGTAGATTACATTCTCTCGTCACTTTAACCAGGTAAATGGAACATATACTGCTAACATACTGTCACCCAGAAGCCTTAGTTATGTGTCCTCTAAAAAAGGTTTGAAGTTATCTCTTCTGCTGCTATTCAGCTCAAGTAAGCAAGCTGTGCTGTTTTTAGTTCAACTTTATTTCTTACACTATTAACAACGTGATGTTTCATATCACAAACTCAAAGATTGTATCTTTGGTGGCTAAAAAACTAAAATAAAAATACATTTTCAATTAACTTAAAATCAGTAACATAACCCATTCTCCGACTGGCTTCTCAAAAATCATTTTGATGAAATCTCTACCAAAGTCTGTGTTTCCAATGTGTTAGAGAAAAACACAAACAAAACATATCTGCAAACAACTTGGAATATATACCTCAAATCACCCACCCACCCCCACCCACCCATCCCACCCCTCCATAAAATCAAAATACTCCAGTCCTGAAAAGTAACACTTAAAGAGTATCAGAGAATCAAGTATAACATAACTGTTAAGTGCAAACAGACACTACGACTACAAGTTACACAGGTGTATGTCGAAAAAACTAAACAAAAACACACCGGAGACATAAGACATTGTCTAACTGATGGTCGACACTATAACAACAGACAGGTTTTTTTCATGACATACTGTAGAAAAATACAATGTTCTGGTTATAAAATACTGCACAGCTACGAAAAGGTTTCAAAATAAACTGTGGATGTAAATACAGAAGAGTTAGATGAGTGATTCCTTCCTTTCTTTGCCCTCAATAGTTTCATATATCTGGCGACTTCCAGTTGCCTATAAAACTGGGCTTCATGTGCCCTAGAAATCACAGATGCCATCCCTTCCACTGTCGATATGTAGCCTAAAAGGAATTCATTTTGTAATCACAAACTCAGTGTCGCTCATCAAAATGGTCTGTTAGGTAAGAATTTGAGTTCAAAATGTGTTTACCTCTGTGCGTCTCCAAATCAAAAGCATTAAGTGGTTATAATATTGTATTTACAATTTGAAGGTGATCTTGCTTTTTCCCCTGCCCTACAAGCACGTTCGACTGTTGGCGCGTGTCCTGTGGCTGACATTGACAAGCATATACTTTCAGTCTTAGTCTTTTGGCACGTTTCTTCCTATACAAAGTCAAAATGATTCATCAGGGTCAGTTGAAAACATGAAACCTAGAGAATATGCACGTACAATTAAAACACAAATACTATAAGAACAAATGCTGACATTGAACACTATGATCAACTGATACCTATGGACCACACCTATATGATTGACCTATGAGACAGCATGTTTTCAGAAACTCTACTCACCTACCCCACTCTGCATGGTGCTCACCAGAGAGACAAAACATTGATGGTTCGGACCACAACATGTGACATAGCCATTTCATAATGAGACTCTTCCAGAATATTCTATTCCAGTACAGAATCTTGGTTTGGTGTCCTGTGATAGACGTGATACTAACAAATCACAACCATGTGAATGTAGTGGTGTCACTGTATTACAACATCCCAGCCTAAATACTTCTATTATCAGAGCCAAACAATGCAATGCAATCTACCGTATCAGTGCAGTACTGTACATCAAAGATGGAGCAAAACGCTGAGTGTCGATGTCCCTAACGCCTACAGTACCTGTACAACCAACAGTGGCTAGGCCATCAGAGGACGACTCCAACAAGCACATTTCCTTCTGTTTCAACTGTCAAGCAACACAATTATTGATTGAGGGTCACAGAGAAGTTGACCAATTCTTTAGATGGTGATTAATTCAGATTCAGTTTTAGTGTCAAACCATCTCATGATTTTCCTATACGTTGATATATAGATCGAATGGGTAGGTGAAATACCTTGATGACCCCAGTTGTCCTAGATTTGTGAAGACGTGAATTTAAAGCAGCACTCCTGCACCTGAAAATTGGATCTTTACAAAAAGCTACCTTCATTCCTTGCACCCTTGCATACAATTTCCAATAATCACAATAAATATGCTTTATGCTATGTATTGGGTGTAACACATTTAACATGGGCTAAATACTAGAATACTGTATATACTATGGCTATTTCCAAATGCAATGGCTGAACTCTGGGGCTTTGACCAATGTTACAGAGCCAATAAAACAGGGTCAATTAAGGAGACCCCCCAGGCAAGGTGGACCACCTTCTGTCTCTCAGGCCTGTCTGCAAGTCACCATATCAACAGCATCTATTGCACATTAAAATCCTTGGCCTATCCTTGCCAAAGCCCCCCACCCCATACACACACACACCTCTTTCAGAACGTCATGCTGCACTCAACAACGAGATGACAATTAGCAACAAGCAACATAAACAATAAATCCCTTTGACAAATTAAATACATTATTAAACCTAGTTCTCCTAGTCCTAGTATGGACTAACCAGGTCGATCCACTTCTGAGTTAAAGCCCCTAACTTCCTCAATTATAATTGAGGTTGACAGAACTCCTCTGTGAGTAGCTTCAGGGGAATAAGAGGGTACCAGTAGGACAGAAGACCTCAAAATATGACCCCACCTTTAATAAACAAGGGACAGTGGAGCCATAGCAACACCTTGATCTGTGGGACAGACTTGAAATAAAAGTATGCTTCTTTTTTTATTGTTGCCTCCATCCGTTCTAACAGAGCTCCGCTGTAGGCTTGAATACTGGAAAGAGTCACAGAAGCATATTATTCTAGATAACAACGTTCCTATTGAGTTTTTACAGATAATAGGTGAGAGCAGGAACCGTATTTATCTCTTTCAGGATTCAAAGTAGATTTGGTTCTGAGCTAAGGGAGACTTTAGAGGCAGCACGTTGACTTTGTGCTTCCTCAAATCTCTGAATCTTACTTGAAAGATGAGGACAAAGCCAAAATGTAAAACCAAAATGAAGGCAAAGATGAACAAACTAGAGAGACTATGCTGCGTCTGAAATGGTATAGTGCCAAAGGGTGAAAAGTAGTGCACTATATAGGGAATAGGATGCCATTTCAGCCACAGTCCATATTAACCCTGTGGTCCTCTGCTGATTATGATACACAATTACCATGAACAGACATGAAAACTGAACACAGAGAGTGAGGGAAGGAGGAGAAAGGAAGAACATCCATACAATAAACAATAACACGAGTCAAATTAAAAGTAATGTCAGAATGCTCTATCCTCCAGTCGGTCAGCATGAAAGGTAGGCCCCAGGACACATGCTCTTTCCACTAATCAGGCTGATGCTATGACATCACATTGCCCTGATTGGTCGTCCCCTTCCGAGGCCAAAAAGCCCTCTGTCCAGTAACATGGCCCCCCTCCGACTATCCCCCAGTAACCCCAAGGTTTGTTTTTCCCCAAAAGGCCCCGTATTGTCGTGGCGGTGGCCGTGTGCGCCGTTTCGTGGCCGCAAGATTTTAAGAGTAGATAGTGATGACCTCGCGTCCGCCCCCACGGACCAGGAGGACCCGGTTGAGACCTTCCAGTAGAACCTCCAGGAACTCCATGTCTGAGACACCAAGGGTCAAAGAGGAAACAAGTCACATCACATGACAGGGGTTTATGCAGGTCACGTGACAAGGGAAGTACATTAGCTCTAAAGCTATTAGTTATTATACGTTTTAAAGATACACTACATGACCAAAAGTATGTGGACACATGCTCGTCGAACATCTCATTCCAAAATCATGGGCATTAATATGGAGTTGGTCCCCCCTTTGCTGCTATAACAGCCTCCACTCTTCTGGGAAGGCTTTCCACTAGATGTTGGAACATTGCTGTGGGGACTTCCTTCGGTAGTGAGTGTTGCAACCGAGGACAGACGATTTTTACGTGCAACACGCTTCAGCACTCGGCGGTCCCGTTCTGTGAGCATGTGTGGCCTACTACTTCGTGGCTGAGCCGTTGTTGCTCCTAGATGTTTCCACTTCACAATAACAGCACTTACAGTTGACCGGGGAAGCTCTAGCAGGGCAGAAATTTCATGAACTAACTTGCTGGAAAGGTGGCATCCTATGACGGTGGCTCGTTAAAAGTCGTCTGTCAGCCAATGTTCCCTCTAAGAGAGAAGCACAAGATTGAATTTCACTCAACTTTCTAGAGCAGTGGTCACCAACCAGTCGATCGGTATTCCTAGTCGATCGCCAAACAGCTCTGTAAAAAACCCAATGATAAAGCCTTGTGTTCCTATTTTGTTTTAAATACAGTGTCATATAGCCTAACTCAAATTTTAAAATATAATTTTATAAAATGGCCTGAACAACAATGCATTGGCAGGGCAATTCAAGCAAAGCCAATATGCAGTGATAATGTATTGGGCCTATAGCCTACTGCACAAACCTCATTGCTACAGTACTGTTTTTAATTGGTTAATGTTGCATAGGTTAACGTTTTTTAAGTAATGTTAACAAAATAATCTGAGCGGTAGATCTCAGTTTGCATTTTGACTCAAAGTGATCTTCTTGACTCAGAAAAGGTTGGTCACCACTGTTCTAGAGTTCCTGTTAATACTATCAACGTTTCCCTTTACTGTGGCAATTGTGATCGAATCAACACAATATTAGCCACTTTCAATGCAACATACCGAAACAAAACTAACTATGCAAGAGATTTTGTTGTAGGCAGAATGCATCGGAGTAGGATTCTATTGCATTGACAGGCACGACTCAGGCACATACTCTACACAGACCGGTGTGCCATAACCAATCAGAGCTGCAGTAGGCCTATATGCAAATAGACCATTGCCATATATGGATCTTTGCCATTTACTTTGAACTGGACTGTGTTTACAGCATGAGCGGTCACGAGTAGATGCGCTTGTTTTGAGATCAAAGCGAGAGCTGCATGTAGCCACTTGTGCACATTTTGTTCACATCCTTTGCTAGTTAGTGAGTTATTAGCCCAGTTATATTGAATTTGTAGTCAGCAATAGGGGAGTGATTGCTTCCTACAAGAGCACAAAACATATACATTTCTAGACATCTTTGAAAAGCGAGTCAGATAAAGAGCTTTTTTTTGTCTTAAAGAGGCAGTGCTGTATTTTGAGACAGGCTTGAATAAGCTAAGTAGCCAATAGGCAGAGGGTAGCATAATTTGTCTGATTCTCTGTAATAATGGTATGGGAATAATAATGCATTTTATTTTGTAAAGTGGTTCCTTGTCTGAAGGACAAGTGGATAAACAGGTTAATGTCAAGCCCTGCATGTTTTTTTCTCAAATATCTCATGGAATGTAGGCCTACATTGAACACCACACATTGGCTGCTACTGTAGGCTGAATGATAGGACAGCTATTTCCATGTTAAAATGTTATGGGACGCATTTTCTCCATTGTTTCTGGTAGGCCTACATTATGATCAAATAGCCACAGTAGCCTACTTGGCCACTGTTAAAACTGTAACAAAGCGGGTACAGTCTCAGTGTTCACAGTAAATGCGCGCTGGAAGTTGCACAGAATTTTCACGACATTCAAGTTTGCGCTCAGCAGACCTGAAATTTGCTCAGTGCGGGAAAATGTTTGAGGGAACATTGCTGTCAGCAACGGGTGAGGCTGAAATAGCTGAATCCAATAATTTGAAGGGGTGTCCACATAATTTTGTATATATAGTGTACAATCAACAACTTAACTATTAACAACTAAACAACCTTTTCAAAGAGATCGTCCTCGACCTTGTCAGATCGCTGATGACGATACCTTTCAAGTTAAGTTGGGGTAAACATATTCAACTAAGCAATAAACAATTAATCTGACATGCATAGTCAAATTTGAATAAACAGACATTTGGCTGTAAAGGATACAGTTCTCGTCGCCCCCTCTGTTTTTGGGTGGTCCCGGCATGTTGAGCAGGACCAGGTGGGCTCCCTGTGACTTGTTGACCACCACCTCATTCAGCTTGACCGCAGTGTGCATCCGGCGCACATTGGACTGGTTCCTATACCACACAAGGGTGACAGTGAAGAAGAGCAGGCTGAACCCACCTCAACCCTGACCTCTAACTTCTGACTCTGACTTCTCCAATAATATTAATGGACTGGATTTACATAACGCTTTATCAGATGCTAAAGTTTTTTACATTGAATTCTAACTAGAAATATGGCGCTCAACTCCATTGACATCAATGTATGATTTAGGCAAAAGTTTGAGTAAATAGCCCATATCTAAAATGAGGATTTAACCAATAGTAACTAATCTACTAATCTGTCACTCTTCTCATGTAACACTCAATAGTCTAAACATTCAGTAATGACAAAACACTTCTTGATCATGTTTTTTTAAATGAGCAATTACAGTGCAATTGTCAGATTGGCAGCCTTTAGCACACAGATGAGAACATGAAGTAGGACAGCTGGTGGTTATGATAGTGAAGCCTTGGGAGTCATTATTTCACTCGGAATGAAGGCTCAGGATGGGCAGTCAAAGCAGCGTCACACTTCAAACAGCAGCAGTAGCAGTAGGGTGGCAGAGAGGATACGCTACAGGGGCCTGTTGTAGACCTGGTGTACTGACAAATACAATGGGCAAGCCTGTGGGTATGAAATATTCCACTGTATAACTAAGCAATAAGGCCCAAGGAGGTGTGCCTGGATACAGCCCTTAGCAGTGGCATATACCACAAACCCCCGAGGTGCCTTATTGCTATTATAAACCAGTTACCAACATAAAAAGAACAGTAAACAAGTAGTTTTGCATCATACCCATGGTATATTGTCTGATATACCACGGCTTTCAGCCAATTAGCATCCAGGAGTCAAACTACCCAGTTTATAGTACTGCGTGGTATACACACTATTCCAATATTCAATTGACCAGTTCAATGTGATATTGGGTGTAATATTGAAAGCCCTTCTTGAGTTAGAGTGCACAGCAACACCAAAAATGCAGAGCATGATATGCAAATGGTTTGAAGCAGAAATCACCACATCACAAATACAATGAGGCACTTCCAAAAAAACATACGCTTTCCACCCAGTTGAGATTTGACAGCTTAAGGACAATATCATGATGATTGCAATGACCAATTGAAATGGATTTTGGACCACTGATATTGTTAATTTTTTGGTTCTATTCCTATACAGAACAGATGCATGGGCAATAAAGCAATATTGTTTACACGGCTAAGGTCTGTATGGAAAGCGCAATTTTGATTGCACATGCTACATAACATGACATGTGTACCCTCCCATCACGCAGGCACGCACGCACACACACACACAAACACACACGCACACACACACACTTGTATGCACGCAGGCACACACACAGACACACAGTCCCAGTGGCTGGGAGGAGACAGAAAAGGACTACTGTACACAGACATTCATCCACACAGCCTACAGCACTATGGCAAAGAGAAATGTGACTTACAGACTCTCCCACTCTCTAGAAGGAGGAAAATGAGACAAAACAACAAAAAACGTCTTAGATGTTTTATAGAAACCCCTTGCATGTCTACTGTTGTACATGCCAACCACCCCACAGTTAAACACTTCCCTCAGTTTAAAGGGATGGTTCAAGTCAGATGTTTTCATTCCTCAAAAGTAGTCAAGAGGTGCGAAAACATCAGACAAACTTTGATTTGGAGGTGAATTATCCCTTTAAAACGGTCTCTATAGTATCCAAATCATATTTGGGCTTGTTAGATTTTTTGGCCTATGTAATGAACTAGCGGTTCTATCTGCCCTTTTGAGATGGTGGGTTCTGAGACACAAAGACATGATGGTCATTAGTCCAGACGGTGCATGTGGTCTGTGTGGTGGGGCCATGCATTGGATGTGTCCACACACACAGTCACACAGGTCAACATGGAACATGCCAACCCAGCCTGAACACACACCATGCAGGCCATGTAACCATTTCAAACCGACAGGCTCCGGGGCAGCTAGTGTGAGCAACTATCCACTTGGCTCCTCCATTTAGGCTATGGAAGGTTTAAGGATAAGAGGGTTCATACTTAGCACCTGACTTACGGTTTCATGTTGAAGATGTCGCGCACGCCCATGTTGGCCTCGGCGCGGTTGCGGTTGCGCTCGGTGAGGAACTTATCCTTGGTCCAGGTCATGTGGACCCGGTCAGGGCCAGCGTCGGCCTTGTCGTTCAGCGCGGCGTGAGACGCCGTGTTTCTGTCATGGATCAGCTGGGCCTGAAGGAGATGGAGAGGGAGATGATGAGAGAGCGAGATAGAGAGAGAGAGAGAGAGGGAGAGAGAGAGAGAGAGAGGGAGAGAGAGAGAGAGAGACTACAGGCTAGAAACTATGGCGTTACACAAACCTGGTAGCAAGGTTATTATAGTTTTGTGATTTTATATTAGTTTTTATTTCTATTAGTTTTTCCATTTTTATTTAAAATTCAGTTTAGATTTGCTAGTTTTTAGTTAGTAAAAATATTTATTTTTCGTTTTTATATTATTTAGTGTCAGTTTTAGTTGTAGTGTTAGGGGCAGAAAGCATGCATGGGAGGTATAGTTACTTGTGTTATTTAGAATGTCACTTCTTGCAACTGGGGGACAGTAATACTTAAGGTGATGGGTCAGGTCATTAGTTAGGTTTAAATTATAAAGTAAATCTCAATGTGACTTGTATTTAAAATAATAACACATAGACTGGTGCAAAAAATATGGTGGAAGGAAACCCTCTCTCGCCCATGTTTACACCAATCCAATGCTTTTTAGTAGTACATGTGAGAAGAATCAAGTTAGCTACCTAGCCAATTTTTTCCCTTATAGCTAGTATATAGCTAGTGATAGTGAGGCACAAGCTAGGCCTATTTGAAACATTGCCATCTCCCGGCCACATTTACCCACCAGATTCAGTAGCTTGAAAGCCCTCAAAAAGCATGAAAACCCTATTGAACACCACATTAGATCTTTGTCTAACGTTTAAAATAAATTAATAAATGAACATAATTCATGACGGTTTTTATTTTATTTAGTTAGTTTTAGAGTCAAAGATAATAGTTTCAGTATAGTTGTAGTTTTTCAAACAGGTTTGTTAATTATTTTATTTCAATTGACTAAATAGTTTTTTCATAATTAGTTTTAGTTTTAGTTTTAGTTTATTATAATAACCTTGCCTGGTAGAAAGACCAACACCACTCATACAGTCAACAAACATAGTAAAAACATTTATGACTGACTAATGAATGACTAATGACATTGAAGTGTATAGGGTTCATCATACCAAAATCCATGACATGCAAAACAACACCAGTGTTCTCTACACAGGCCAATAGCTCTTTAATAAGGAGTGAGGCACAAAGTACTGTCTGGATCTACGACACTGTGAGATGGAGTAATGGTGACGTCCACAGGGAATTAACCAGGTGGAGGGTGATGAGTGGAGGAAGGAGGGATGAACTAAAGGAGGATTACACCACAGTGCACTTGACGAATGGCGCATGCGGAATGAGGTGAGTCCATAACGTCCATAGGCCACTACGGTGAGTAACCTACACAGTTACACAGCCACAATCTACCATAGATGGTCTATCCGGGGATTACTTTAACTGGACATTTTGACTGGGCTTTAACTTACTTTAGGTCCCTGACTGTTAGCAGCTGTGGCTGTGGCTGTGTAAGTGTGGTCTCTGGGGGTTGGTGACTGGGGGGTAATGGTAGTCTCAGTGGGGGTGAGGGGCTGCAGTCACAGGGGCATTGGGGGTACAGATGGGGGGTGTTGGCTACCTCGTCTTCCTGTGTGTCCTCCAGCTCTCGACTGGGGCCAGATTCTGAGCCCGAGGCTCCGGTTTGATTATTCCTCCTGATGGAGCTACGTGACGAGTCAGTGATACTCTGAATCTGAGAGCCGTGTTGGCCCATACCGCATACGCAGCCAGACAGGAGAGGGGGCCAAAGGTCATACAACGAACACTAGGCCAAGGTGGGCTAGGAGAGCCCTGATACCCACAACCCAATAACATACAGTGCCTTCAGAAAGTATTCATACCCCTTGACTTATTCCACATTTTGTTGTGTTACAGCCTGAATTCAAAATGGATTAAATGGATTTGTTTTATCATCGATCTACACCATAACGATAAAGTGAAAACATGTTTTTATAATTTTTAGCAAATTTATTGAAAATGAAATACAGAAATATCATTGTAGAAGCACCTTTGGCAGCGAATACAGCCGTCTTTCTGGGTAAGTCTCTAAGAGCTTTCCACACCTGGATTGTGCAACATTTGCCCATTATTCTTTTCAAAATTATTCAAGCTCTGTCAAATTGGTTGTTGATCATTGCTAGACAACCATTTTCAGGTCTTGCCATAGATTTTCAAGTAGATTTAAAAACTGTAACTTGGCCACTCAGGAACATATACAGTCTTTCCTGGTAAGCAACTCCAGTGTAGATGTGGCCTTGAGTTTTAGGTTATTGTCCTGCTGAAAGGTGAATTCATCTCCCAGTGTCTAGTGGAAAGCAGACTGAACTAGGTTTTCCTCTAGGATTCTGCCTGTGTTTAGCTCCATTCTGTTTCTATTGATCCTGAAAAAAGTACCAGTCCTTAATGATTACAAGCATACCCATAACATGATGCAGCCACCACTATGCTTGAAAATATGGAGAGTGGTAATCAGTCATGTGTTGTATTGGATTTGCCCCAAACATAACACTTCGTAAGACAAAAAGTTAATTGCTTTGCCACATTTTTTGCAGTTTTACTTTAGTGCTTTATTGCAAAACAGGATGCATGTATTCTGTACATTTTCGTGGTCCTCTGTCGCTCAGCTGGTAGAGCACGGCGCTTGTAACGCCAAGGTAGTGGGTTCGATCCCCGGGACCACCCATACACAAAAATGTATGCACGCATGACTGTAAGTCGCTTTGGATAAAAGCGTCTGCTAAATGGCATATTATTATTATTATATTATTTTCACTCTGTCAATTAGGTTTGTATTGTGGAGTAACTACAATGTTTTCTCCTATCACAGCCATTCAACTCTGTAACTGTTTTAAAGTCACCATTGTCCTCATGTTGAAATCCCTGAGCGGTTTCCTTCCTCTCTGGCTACTGAGTTAGGAAGGACGCCTGTATCTGTGTAGTGACTGGGTGTATTGATACACCATCCAAAGTGTAATTAATAACTTCACCATGCTCAAAGGGTTATTCAATGTCTGCTTTGTTTAATAGGTGCCCTTCTTTGCGAGGCATTGGAAAACCTCCCTGGTCTTTGTGGTTGAATCAGTGTTTGAAAATCACTTCTCGACTGAGGGACCTTACAGATAATTGTGTGTGTGGGGTACAGTGATGAGGTAGTCATTCCAAAATTATGTTAAATACTATTATTGCACACAGAGTGATTCCATGCAACTTATTATGCGGCTTGTTATGATTTTTTTTACTCCTGAACTTATTTTGACTTGCCATAACAAAGGGGTTGAATATTAATGTTGTAATAATGTTTCGAAAAACATAATTCCACTTTGACATTATGGGGTATTGTGTGTAGGCCAGTGACAAGAAAATCTCAATTTAATCAATTTTAAATTCAGGCTGTAACACAACAAAATGTGGAAAAAGTCAAAGGTTGTGAATACTTTCTGAAGGCACTGTATGTCCTATCTATTTCCTGTATGCTCATACGGTAATATCAGGGATTTCTAACCAAGTGAGGTCAGGGTACATCCATGGCTGTTCAATGTGACCCAAAGCAATGATATACTAAATCACATTCCCATGACACTTTTCTCTTTACAGACCAACTGATAATAAGTGCACTCAAGAAAGACACCTGAAACAACCGCATTGCATTTAAAACCCTTCAAGATATAGTTCTAAAGGAATATACCATGAATTTCCTGATAAAGGTGTTGCAAAACAATAACAGATTATATCAATACTTGCTTCCTATTGACTTGGCTTGCATCCCAAATGGCACCCCATTCCATATTTAGTGCACTACTTTTGACCGGAGCCTATAGGCCCTGTTCAAATGTAGTGCACTATAAAGGGAATAGGGTACCACTTGGGGCATAACATTGAAGGGTAATAGTTTTGTAATGAGTGTGCCCTGCAGACAGGGGGCGGTGTTACCTCTCTCTCCCTCTCCGTCCGCGACAGCTGCATCTGTTTGAGCATCTGAGAGCGCTGCTCCATCACCAGGGTCTTCTCGTAGGTGAAGGCTGAGATGTCGCTGTCGTGCTGTTCACACACACATTATCCAAAGGGTTAACTAAGCATCATACATGTTTTATATCTAACGAAACCCTGATGAAGCTCTATTGACTGAAACATTGTATTGGATTTTGGAGAGACTGGAATCCCAAATTGGTCTACACGGACAAGTTCTGGCCTGGTTTAGATCCTACCTGTCGGAAAGATATTAGTTTGTCTCTGTGAATGGTCTGTCCTCCGACAAATCAACTGTACATTTCGGTGTTCCTCAAGGTTCCGTTTTAGGACCACTATTGTTTTCACTATATATTTTACCTCTTGGGGATGTTATTCGAAAACATAATGTTAACTTTCACTGCTATGCGGATGACACACAGCTGTACATTTCAATGAAGCATGGTGAAGCCCCAAAATTGCCCTCGCTAGAAGCCTGTGTTTCAGACATAAGGAAGTGGATGGCTGAAAACTTTTTACTTTTAAACTCGGACAAAACAGAGATGCTTGTTCTAGGTCCCAAGAAACAAAGAGATCTTCTGTTAAATCTGACAATTCATCTTGATGGTTGTAAAGTCGTCTCAAATAAAACTGTGAAGGACCTAGGCGTTACTCTTGACCCTGATCTCTCTTTTGACGAACATATCAAGACTGTTTCAAGGACAGCTTTTTTCCATCTACGTAACATTGCAAAAATCAGAAATTTTCTGTCCAAAAATGATGCAGAAAAATTAATCCATGCATTTGTTACTTCTAGGTTAGACTACTGCAATGCTCTATTTTCCGGCTACCCGGATAAAGCACTAAATAAACTTCAGTTAGTGCTAAATACGGCTGCTAGAATCCTGACTAGAACCAAGAAATTTGATCATATTACTCCAGTGCTAGCTTCCCTACACTGGCTTCCTGTTAAGGCAAGGGCTGATTTCAAGGTTTTACTGTTAACCTATAAAGCGTTACATGGGCTTGCTCCTACCTATCTTTCCGAGTTGGTCCTGCCGTACATACCAATACGTACGCTACGGTCACAAGACGCAGGCCTCCTAATTGTCCCTAGAATTTCTAAGCAAACAGCGGGAGGCAGGGCTTTCTCCTATAGATCTCCATTTTTATGGAACAGTCTGCCTACCCATGTGAGAGACGCAGACTCGGTCTCAACCTTTAAGTCTTTACTGAAGACTTATCTCTTCAGTAGGTCATATGATTGAGTGTAGTCTGGCCCAGGAGTGTGAAGGTGAACGGAAAGGCTGGAGCAACGAACAGCCCTTGCTGTCTCTGCCAGGCCGGTTCCCCTCTCCACTGGGGTTCTCTGCCTCTAACCCTGTTGCAGGGGCTGAGTCACTGGCTTGCTGGTGCTCTTTCATGCCGTCCCTGGGAGGGGTGCGTCACTTGAGTGGGTTGAGTTACTGACGTGATCTTCCTGTCTGGGTTGGCGCCCCCCCCTTGGTTTGTGCTGTGGTGGAGACCTCTGTGGGCTATACTCGGCCTTGTCTCAGGATTGTAAGTTGGTGGTTGGGGATATCCCTCTAGTGGTGCGGGGGCTGTGCTTTGGCGGAGTGGGTGGGGTTATATCCTTCCTGTTTGGCCCTGTCCGGGGGTTTCTTCAGATGGGGCCACAGTGTCTCCGGACCGCTCCTGTCTCAGCCTCCAGTATTTATGCTGCAGTAGTTTATGTGTCGGGGGGCTGGGGTTAGTTGGTTATACCTGGAGTACTTCTCCTGTCTTATCCAGTGTCCTGTGTGAATTTAAGTATGCTCTCTCTAATTCTCTCGTTCTCTCTTTCTCTCTGAGAACCTGAGCCCTAGGACCATACGTCAGGACTACCGGGCATGATGACACCTTGCTGTCCCCAGTCCGCCTGGCCTTGCTGCTATTCCAGTTTCAACTGTTCTGCCTGCGGCTACGAAACCCCTACCTGTCCCAGACCTGCTGTTTTCAACTCTTAATGATCGGCTATGAAAAGCCAACTGAGAGACCTGAGCCCTAGGACCATACGTCGGGACTACCGGCCGTGGTGACTCCTTGCTGTCCCCAGTCCGCCTGGCCTTGCTGCTATTCCAGTTTAAACTGTTCTGCCTGCGGTTATGGAACCCCTACCTGTCCCAGACCTGCTGTTTTCAACTCTTAATGATCGGCTATGAAAAGCCAACTGAGATTTATTCCTGATTATTATTTGACCATGCTTGTCACTTATGAACATTTTTGAACATCTTGGCATGGTTCTGTTATAATCTCCACCCGGCACAGCCAGAAGAGGACTGGCCACCCCTCATAGCCTGGTTCCTCTCTAGGTTTCTTCCTAGGTTTTGCCTTTCTAGGGAGTTTTTCCTAGCCACCGTGCTTCTACACCTGCATTACTAGCTGTTTGGGGTTTTAGGCTGGGTTTCTGTACAGCACTTCGAGATATTAGCTGATGTAAGAAGGGCTATATAAAATAAAATTGATTGATTGATTGATTTAAAGTGTTTGAGGCATATCCAAGATCACCAGAGTGCTGGAGTTTCTTCCTTTTAATATCAAAAGAAGCAGACAAATATTAGAGACATTTAAGTGTGCTTGACTTGATTGAGCTACACATCAGGTTAGGTTTCGTCATCTCAAGTTATAGGTCAATAGAGAGATGTCAGTGCCCTAGAGGTCTACAGGTAAGCTCACCATCTCTACCACCTCCACCTCTGCGTCCAGACGGAGGTGGTAGAGGAACATCTGCAGGTCCTTCTTCATCTGAATACTGTTGTCATCCATATTAGCCACCGTGAAGATACGCATCTTACACTTCCTCCACACCTGAGATGCGGGGAGGGTGGGAGGGAAGGAGGGGGAGAGAGAGAGAGAGAGAGAGAGAGAGAGAGAGAGAGAGAGAGAGAGAGAGAGAGAGAGAGAGAGAGAGAGAGAGAGAGAGAGAGAGAGAGAGAGAGAGAGAGAGAGAGAGAGAGAGAGAGAGAGTATAGGAAAAAACAGTGAGAAAGAAAGAGTAGGAGATGGAAGAAAAAGAGAGAAGGCAAATTAAACACTCACTTTGATCTATGTGTAACGCGATGCAATGTGTGAACACAAGTCATCCCTAAGCCTAGTGTATGGGGGTATAATGATATGTGCGCCTATTTGTATGTGTTAATAACTAAGTGTGTGCATATGTTTGTGTGTTTGTCTGTGCATGTGTGTTTTTATATTCCCCCCCAACAGAATGTCAATGGCGTAACCATAGATACCTTGTGCTGGCGGAGGAGGAAGGGCAGCAACATAAGCAGTCCTCCGTCGTGGACGATCCACCACACGTCTATGGTGCCCTGGCCCAGGCGGTCTGCGTTGGTGGGGAAGCTGTCCACGTTCTTGGCCACCAGCAAGGCCTGATGGGCCGCCGTGGTCTCACGCACAGTCTCTGTGGAGGGGACAGAGAGAAATGCTGTTAAATTAGCGCGTGCACGCATGCCATCTCAGTAATGGTATTGCATAGGGTTACGTACCGTGTAATGGGGGTTACGCTCGCATGATGAGTTACCTTCCTGAGCTAATGTTAAGACATTTTTGGTGTGGTCTCAAATCCAAGTGGGTCACACTGACTCACCTATGAAGTTCTTCCAGGAGACGGGGTCGTTGGACTGTTTCCAGGTGCCGGGCCAGGCCATGAGGACCGTGTTGTGTTTCATGCCCCCAAGGCCTGCTGTCTGGATGAGGTGGGAGAAACCATCACGCAGGTTGGATGATGCCACCACGTGGCAGAAGCCCTTGGTACGCTCCATCGTCATCGACGACTTGATGTTCTGATGGAAAAAGTCACGAAGTGTGAGAAAAGGTTTCCACTAGTTACCACAGCCACAAGGTCAAAATTGGCTATATCGTAAAAATCTTGGTCTTAATTTAAGGTTAGGGTTAGGCATAAGGTTAGCAGTGTGGTTAAGGTTAGGTTTAAAATCACATTTTATGAAGATCAATTTTAGAAATAGGCGGGGTTTATGACTTTGTGGATGTGGTAACTAGTGACGAATAGAAAAGAAGGACAAGAATATGATTTCCTGATTTGACAGAATCGGAATGGACTCAACCTGGTAATTAATGTCTATGTTGGTCTACCAGTAGAAGGCAGGCAGTCTCTGCCAGTGGAATAAGACTGGAAATGTCAGCAGCCTCTAAACTCCTCTCTGGTTGGTTCTCTTAACAGGTCTCTCACAGACACATCTAGTAGTCTAAAGTGCCTTTCTCTCCAGACCTCTGTTCCTCCCTAATCAATGGTACGTCCAAGACTTTTACACCATATTTCTCTCACCTACCAGGTTCACGTCAGCACAGATGAAGGAGAGGAGACAAGGATAGGAAGCCACTTACGACTATAGAGTCCACGGTGTATAAGCTGAGCCCGTGACTACAGTACCTGCTCGGCCTTCTTGACCTCGGCCTCCTTGGTCATGTAAGTGCCCTCCAGGACGGAGCCCACGATGGTCAGGCCTTTGCCCGCTTTGAGCTGGGTGCAGAAGGAGAGCAGGCGTGGGTGTTTCACTGTGTGGTCAGAGTCCAGGTTCAATAGCAGCAGCATCTGGGGCCTACGACCCGGGAAGACAGGGGCGGTGAGACATCAGACAAGTCATACTGTATTATATTATACAAGGCTGACCAAGACCCATACTGGTCCAACACATTGCTTTGAATTTGAATTTCAGATTATTGCCTAGCTATCTGTATTAACACCTGGGAACATTGCTGTTACATTTGTACAGACATTTGAGTTCAAAATGAGATTGCCTTAAGCCTGCACGGCTAAAGGTGAACTTTTAAACACATCTATTGAAGGGATTCCTGACGGCTGCAGCTGATTGGATTAACTGATTGGGTCGTTCCATGTCATTTCAGCAAGCCATGACACCCACCATCTCAGATTTTTCAGAAATCATTTCTGTAGTTAGAAACAGATAAGATTAGCATTCCTGCAACATTATTTTGTTTAAATATAATTTGATCTCTGAGAAATTAAGCTAATTGATTGCACCCATTTTAATTTATAGGATTCATATAATATTCTATAAATATTTAGTACCTAACATCCTATTTGGCCAAACTTTTTCTAACAATGAGTAAAACATGAGGAATCCAACGAAATGGTCAAAAGCCACCCACGGATTCCCCACGGCAATCCCACCCAAACATCAAGTATACAGTATCATGTTTCTATGTCTGGCAAGTAGAATGGAGCTGCGGCTCTGAGTATTGTTTCTTCATTTTATGTTATGTATTCTCAGTGAATTTGGTGAAGGTTTTTTTCCCCTGTTCGGAGAAATTAGTCAATGAAGTTGTTAGGTTTATGTCCCATCCTACATCCTAATATTACCAGGTTCTGACCACTAGATGGTGCTGTTGCTGCTGTTTGGTGAAGTAATTTAATGTCAAGAATCATCAGTGAGGATACAGCAGCTTGCTGTAGAGTGGGAAAGTCATTAAGAGCTAATTGTATTTTGCTGTAACAGCATGGTTTAATCATAATGAAAGACAAACACACACACTGTGCTGCCAGTCACAGTGTAGGGCACAAGACGCAACTGAAATTTTGAGGGTGAGTAGAGAGTGAGAGAGGATGGAGGAAGCTTGCCTTGAAGAGCTGGGCATCTTGTTATGACATGCATTATCTGAATTAGGCCCATGGAATTATACCTACGGAGGAGAGGCTTCTATGGAGTAACTTTGAATGTCTTTGAACTTCCGAGTTGGTTTAAAGTTGGATCAGAGAAAACATTAGCTAGCTAGCTAGCTAGCAAGCTTATGTGTGCAGAGCAGCACCAGAATTAAAAACACGTCTTACCTTTTTGTAGTTAATAAATCCAATGTGAAAACGTGATAACTATAGTATCCTTAACTAGCATTGAAAAAGTCAATCCATTCTTCTCTTATTAAACATTTCTCCCTAATTTCTGAATTACACTTGTAACGTCATCAGTAGGCTACAGTAACCTATACTTCAGAGGGGAGGGGCAGGTAGCCTACACATTCGCACACCCACTGGCAAAGATTTCCAGCTGGCAGGCAGACGCTGGAATAAGTTTCTGAGTGACAGATTGAGGGCTTTGCATAGGAGCTTGTTGCGATTTTTGTGGGACTGGAAAAAAATGCTCCACATGAAAGAATGTTATCAACCGGTTCCCATGCTTTTAAAATAACGGTTCTGTTCCTGAACAGTACAGATCCATTTCGGTTTGGGTTCTGTTCCTCAAATAATTTTGTTATTTTCTGTTTTTCTGTTCTGTTCCCTGAACCGGTTCCAACCCTTGGTTTTCTTACCTTGTAAGAAGTTTATGGACAAGGTATGACAGCAACTCATAAAAAGAAAATCACCTGGAACAGCACCATCTAGTGATCAGAACCGGGTAATATCAGGATGCAGGATGGAACATAAACCTAACAACTTCAATTACTTTCTCTGAATAGGGAAAGAAAACATCACCAAATTCACTGAGAATATATTACATAGAATGAAGAAACAATACTCAGAGCCACAGCTCCATACTAATTGTCAGACATAGAGGATTCCTAACGGCTCCAGTACGGGTCCTGCTGTCGAAGGCTGGTAGCACAGCGCCAGTTACTGTGTAAAGAGGCTTAGGGGCGCGTCGCCAGCCAAGCGTGGGCGATGTATGCACGTAAGTACTTGGTAGCCTGCCATTCGCGTCAGGCCAGATGGCACAGGGAGAAATATTGATTTTGACGCTGTAGATTAGGGCATTCCCTGGCAATGGGACTGTGGGCAACGCCAGGGGCAGGAGGGAGAGGACCCAAGACCAAAGTTTGATCTCATTCTTTCCTGATGTAAATGCTCCACTTTTTGGACAGGCACTGTCATGGGGCTGCTATGCTTAGGCTTAACGGTATCTTTTTTCACAGTGAGATTACAGAGAAGGCTCAGAGATTCATCAAATAGTAATTATCTTTCTCTGGATTACTCAGATGACAAGTGGTAACAATTCACTACGTTCTCTAGCAGAAAATGATACTGTTGAGAAAGCCCCACAGTTGATTATTGCTGGATGTTCAGAAATGCGGCGTCAATGATGGCACAAACAAACGTATACGCACATAAACCTAATCACATGCACACACATTCGCCCACCTCCAGTTCTTGGTGTGGGGCGGCGCCTCCTCCAGGCGAATGAGGGCGTAGCGGGCGGCGTTGAGCGACAGACCATTGATACCGTCGCCCCACTCCTTCTCCGCCCTAAAGATGGAGAGAATGAGATAAAGGAGGATTGAGGAACACAATCTAACATGCATCCTATTTGTGATAAGGGAACCAATGTACCATGCTACTGTGGAATCCGGTAGCTCTTACCCTCTGTATTCAATGTACTTGTAGATGCAGCCAGCGATAAGCATGGCCACCAGGGCATAGTACCAGGAGGAGATGAACATCAGGGAGAGACACAGACTGGCGCCCAGGAAAGACAGAGCCCTGTGGGGGACGAGAGACAGACAAGAGCATGGAGGTTACAGTCAGTCATATAGGAGTACATTTTGACAGCCCAAAAATGACAAGCTGATTCCTTAAGTAATCAAACCTATCGTATCAATTCAGATACTCTGCAGGGTACTTGGTTCAAAAACAAGATTGACAGTAGCACATGTTAATGTGCCCATAGAAATCGGAATGCACCATAGCACTACAAACAACGGAGCTAGTTCCATGGAATAGCTCAGCAGTTAACAATGGGGCTTTACTGTGGTATATATTCACTGTTACTGTGAAACCTTAATCCCAGACAGCAAACCCCTCTCTGTTTTAGCACAGATCCATTTATCGCTGGACACGCCATACAGGTGTGTGCATTCACTATACAAGCTTACACGAGCTGTAGTGTGGACCTTGAATACTTGGCCAGTTTAGGGTAATGAAATGTATGCTGCCGAGTAGGGGTGGAGGCAGTAACAGAGTTCGTATAGACAGTGGCAAGTCAAATTCGAGGACTTTCAAGTACTTCTTCAAGCACTAATATTTATTTTCAAGGACCATCAATTTGTAATAGTTCATATTATGTAATTGTTTCTAGTCGCCATCATATGCCACTATATCACCACAGCCTCATGAAAAAACAACAACTTAGTATTCATCACTACCTTACAAGTTCTACTCAATAATATTCTGTTTCACTACTTATTTACTACATACATGAGTGGTAAGTCAGTACTGATGATTTGTAATTTGAGTAGTGATGAGCAGAGTTTTGGGACATGTCTTTATTGGGCATTTGGGAATCTACTACTTAATAGCTATGAAAAAGCATATTGATTCCGACTGGCAGCTAGTGTCGCCGGTCGGGAGAAGGGCGGTGGAGGCAGTGGGCTGTGTGAGGAAAACGGCACGTGAACGGCCACCAGAACGGCAGGAGCACGGCTCCCGCTTGATAAAGCGGAATATCGCGGGTGCCCCGTGAATGAGGCAACAAGAGCCCCAAGAGACTGCTATAGTACTTAAGAAAGCAGGAGAAAACAGTGAAGCTAATTTGAGAGGGTATTAGAACAGCCAGCAGCACCATATAGAGTGAGAGAGAGGTGCTCTCTTTTACCAGTGATAGAACTTGAAGCGGGGTCTCCAGTTAGGGGTGCGCAGCAGTGTCTGGAGGGCACAGGCCAGGTTGACAAACAGGTAGCACATCAAAAAGAACCTGAGAGGGAGAGAGAGATACAAAATGAGGGAGAGGTAAGATTACACACGGCTACCATCTGTCAGTAAACCTCCAGAGACCAGTTCTGCAAAACTAGGATTAGGCTACAGTAGATGGGAGAGAAGGATGGATGAAAGGAAGAAAGGAAAGAAAGAGAGAACGGTAGAGAGGGGTGTGAGAGAAGAGAAGAGGGAGGAGATGGAGATGATAGTAGAGGTACTCACATGGAGAGGATGGGGGCGACGGCGTCCAGAGAGGCGATGAGGATGCCGATCTCACAGATCCCACCAGTCAACAGCAGGGCCCAGGTGGGCTCTCCATTAGCTTTGCCATGACCAAACACCTGGGACACAGGGAAATGCCAGAGAGTTTGTGTGTGTGTGTTCCTGTGTGTGTCTACAGTGTGTGCATGTGTGTCGCTGTGTGTGTGTGTCTACAGTGTGTGTTTGTTCTGACCTGTAGGAATGGCACAATGCCGTCTCGTGCGATGGCCTGCAGCAGCCGGGGGGCTCCAGTGAGACTCTGCAGACCCGCTCCACAGCAGGAGAAGAACGAGCCAATCACAATCACCCAGGGGGAAGGCCAAGCAAGGATGCCAATCACCAGGTTCCCTTTGACCGAGTCCCCAAACCTAGGACAGACAGACACACACAGACAGATGTATTCATTAGAAAAGTACTCAGATAAAACGCACACACGTACACACGAAGACATGCATACCCACGCTGCTAAAAGTAGAAAAATACCTTGCCAGCTAGACAGAAACCCTTTGACCAATGTGTGCCCAGTGTAATTGGCTTGAGCTCTCAACCTGACAGTGCTATATGTGTAACAAGGGGCTACTATGTGTCACAGACAAATAGCTTTTTTAAGGGGAAACTGTGATGTTTTCAAACCAATTTTCCAATGTCCAAAAAACCTATTTGGGCTTCTTATCTCTTAACAAGGAGACACCTTAACCCATGGTCTGTTTCTACTTAAGAAAACATGTGTTTTTAAGGTAACTACAATAATTAAATCAAAGATTGAATGTCGAGATGGGGCTCAAGAAATAAACAAGACATTTGTGCTGCTTTCATACCAAGTGTGAAAGGTGAAACAACACTTACTTGTCTCTGAGCACCACGCCCTCGATGCAGGCGCCAAACAGTATAACAGAGGAAATGTCTGGGTGACGCAATTAAGGAAATTAGCCTTCAGAGGACAAAAGAGGTGAAAAATAAACCAGGGTCACATTAATTTGAGCACCAAATGAAGTAGAGTATAGCAGGGAGAGACTACATGGACTTGTCCAATAAGGAATGCTCAATTGCAATTACCATTGCAAAATGTTTTTCTACGTTTTGCTATTTAGTGCCCAAATTAATAAAAACCTAGCTTTACAGTTTACACATAACAACGCATTGACTTGTCATGTTTTATAATAATTTGGTAGGTGCTTAAATTTGTCCTATTAGACACTTGTATGGTTGGGCTGTTGTTGCTGTCATTACAGATCATTAAAGATACAGATGAAGGTGGTGGTGGCGATGGCCATGATGGTTCCTATGGGGATGGACTTCTGGGCGTCCCTCAGATCACCAGACCTGTTGGATCCAGCCATGATTCCTGTGAAGAGGGGAAAGCAAGTATTATAACATCCAACTTGTAAGTCGCTCTGGATAAGAGCGTCTGCTAAATGACGTAAATGTAAAATGTAATTATCAAGTAAGAGCTGTGTTGCTGCTTGTACTTTGGGGGGTCTAGGCAGGGTTACTGTCAACCATCAACAGCGCAACAACAATTAATGTAAAAAAAATAAAAATGGAATACACTTTAATGAATAGTATGTACACCTCTTAGAAATAGCTTACTTATGCTTAATTACTACTTATTAATGAAAGTTATTCTAAAGTGTTACCCGAATGACCACTTGAAACAAGTGAATGTGCCTTGGTCTTAACCCCTTTACCAAAGAGCTCCTTCTATCTACAAAAATCCCTATTGTGTACCCTAGCAACGCTTCCCTTACAGGTGGATGTCCATGTGAACGTACCAGTGACGGAGGGGAAGTAGATCCCTACCAGCAGGGTGAAGAAGGTGGTGATGTCGTTGGCCACGTAGGGCATGTAGATGTCCTGGGAGGTGTCTGCTGCCGGCTCCGATGCCTGGTGCTTATTCTCTACCAACATGCCATTAGGACCGTAGTCCCCCCAGATGTTATCTATTTGAGGGGGAGAGGAAGGGGGGATGGAGCGGAGGGAGAGGGAGAGGGGGAAGGGAAGAGGGGGAGATGGAGGGGTGGTTAGGAGAGAGGGAGGGAGAAGAGAAGGAAGGGGAAAAAGAGAGAGAGGAAGGGCGAAAAATCCCTAGTCACTATCCTCTGAGTCTGAAGGAAGAACACAGAGTACATATGGAACTCATCAATCACCTGCCAGCACACGCCCAATTCCATAACTTAGCGAATTTGAGGACTTTGTAAGTGATGATGGGGGAGTGGACATCAATGTCAGAGTTTTGGAATGTCCTGAACATCTTGGACGTTGTGGTAACCCAAAACTATGACTGTGTAAAGTCTTCTGGCAGCTGTGGTAGACCTGCAGCTCAGCATAAATCTATGATGTATCTAGATGATACTGGGCTGATTGAATTGAAGACAGTCCCATCTATCCTATAAAAAAGATCCTGTCAGTAAATAAGCCAGGGAACACTTCAACAATACAGGACAATACTTTCTTCAAGCATCACTCTGTTGGATCTCAGGAATGGATCACGTTTCCTGTATATCTTCCTAATCAAATTTTCATAAGAGCTTCAAAGGCAATATAGTAAGTAGTCAGAGGAACACATACAGCATTATGCTTTAGAAATAAACTAATGATCGTAATCCTGGTTTCCATTAGGATAGGGTTTTGTAAGACTGAGAGGAAGCACAGGCTTTACATAAAGGTATAGTTTACCCCACAATCAAAGTTTGTCGGATAATTTCATCCCAAAAAAGTCCATAGTCTACTTCATCAGTTTTGCAGATCTCATTATATGTATTAGGAGAAATCTGCCATAACAAAATGCCAATTAATGAATAGAAAAGATAGCCACCATCTAGGGCAATCTTTGTAAAGGTAGCCTAGAGAGGTTGGTTAGTTTTTTTTCTTCTCACCTCTGATGACGCCGCTGGTCAGGCCAGGGATGCCCTGGATCACAGTGACATTGTTTAGGGTGAAGTACTCATTGCAGGTGGCGTTGAGGTCTGGAGAGTCACAGAACAGGGACCACAGCTTGGTGGTGACTGTCACGTTGTCCACCTCCATCGTCTTCAAGCACTGGTCAAAGTTTTGGTTCTGCAGCGTGCGGTTCCCCAACAAGCAAATACTGGGAGGAGGATATAGAACAAAACATTGAAATAATACATTTGACTTTGATGTTTTGAGGAGACTTATGATCTGAGGTAAGAGCAATGTGTGTGTTCTCTTCTAGTTGTTTCTGGTTGTACTTTTATACAAGGCTGTGAGTTTAGACTAGACTCACGGGAAGTCTGGCGGTTCGAAGGCGGTCTTGATGACTCCGGCGTAGATGGCCAGAATGGAGAGGATGACACAGGCCAGGAAGACCAGGGCCAGCTTGTTGACGTACTTGACCCCCACGAACACCACCAGGGACATGAGGGTGAGGCAGCAGGTGCCGTACACCCGCATGTTGTTGAGCAGCGCCTCCGGCTCATCCTCCTTCTTCTCTGCCTTGAAGATGGCCGCACTAGGCACAATGTAGGTCTGGGAAGAGAAGGGAGATGGGGTGTCATCAGGGAAGTTCAGTTCAGTAAGGGTACAGCGTTTTTGTACGTTCAAAAACCAGCCTTATCTGGCAGTGTTGTTATTGGTTCATGTATACGGAGCAGGTGGTAGCAAAAACGATGGTATCTTTGCAAAGGACACTCACCAGCAGAATCTCTATAGTACCAAGGATGTACATGGAGCCAGCGAAGGTGGTCCCCAGGTAGAAGCAGAGCCCCACGGCCCCGCCGAACTCTGGCCCCAAGGACCTGGAGATCATGTAGTAGGAGCCTCCAGCTACAGACCAACAACAACGGGGGACAGAGTCAGTCACAACCACAGCCCTTGGGGAAACTCACTTTAGGGTGTAGTGGCACATATTGTTCCCTCTAGTGCTGGAACCCAACTCGCTAATCCATTTCATCTTCATTTGAAGTTTAAATTCAATGTAATGTCTTGAGGTGAAGGAAATTATAGGGCAGCTCAATTCTATTTTGAAAAAGTAGAAATGTACCATTATCCATGTTGGAAGCCTACCTGGAACCACACCATTCGTAGCAATGGCACTCATTGATATGGCGGTCAGCATTGTCTGCAAAGAGGGAAAAAATCTCAAAATATTAGTTTAGGTTCAGCAGGGGCAGGATTTTTTAATCTAAAACTCATGGAATCTACACAAAAATAATCAAAGGGGAGCTTATCCCATATTTAGTGGCTAAACGACTCAGATATGGCTTATAAATCTTTGGAAACACAATCGTGGGCGGCTGGTTAATTGATATGAGCCCCTTTTCCGTGAAATCGGTCAATGTTTTGGGAGGGTTTAATGGGTTTCAAGGATATTTGCATCTGGCTGGTTGGTGGTTACATAACACTCCTCCTGCCCTTGAGCTGACACGGGTGGCAATGATTGACCAAAATAAATCTCTGTCCCCTGCTTCCTGCTTCCTGCTTTGCTTTCAGGGCATGTGCTGAACTGGAGAAAAGCCAATTAGCTGGCAATTTACCCCCTAAAGGCAGCTTATCCATTTGAATGGAAGCAGCGTTCAACAGAAGGCTACATTGGTGTCTGTTATGTGGAATGTGTGAAATGGAAAGTGCTGTCCAGCGTCTATGTCTAGCCAGGTGGAAGTGAATAGGATGAATGTGTGTATCTATGTAGACACAAATTACACTCTTAGGAAAAAAGGTACCATCTAGAACCTAAAAGGGTTCTTCGGCTGTCCCCATAGGAGAACTCTTTGAAGAACCCTTTTGGTTTCAGTACCATCTAGAACCTAAAAGGGTTATTTGGCTGTCCCCATAGGATAACCCTTTGAAGAACCCTTTTTGGTTTCAGGTAGAACCCTTTTGGGTTCCATGTAGAACCCTTTCCACAGAGGGTTCTCCTTGGAACCAAAAAGGGTTCTCCTATGGGCAGCTGTGTGTACAACAACCTTAAACTCAGTAAATGAAGTTTCTTTATGTATTTCTGATTGCATCGAATAGGTGAGCTTTGTACACAGGCTCACCTCTCCTGCACAAGTAGGCTATTCTTTCAATTCTTTCCTGACATACCTTGCATTTAGCTATGTAGAAAGTTAGAAACACTTTCTTCATTATTACTACTAGAGGACAGAATGCATTTCTTCTTAGTTGTGTGAAGTCGTCTTCCACATGTCCCAAAAAATATTGGTTCACACAACTGCTAAACTTTATGCCGATCACCATTAAAGCCTACTATTACTTTAGTGATCATGTCGACACATTTTGACGAGCAGTGGCTCTTGAAATGACATAGATGCAGCAACAGACTTGTGACGTGACACACACACACACACACACACACACACACACACACACACACACACACACACACACACACACACACACACACACACACACACACACACACACACACACACACACACACACACAGCCTAAAGCTGCTCAATCCATTACAGTCATTAGGTAACACACTGGGAGTCGCGTGGCTTCTATTGTTCACTGCTCTTAAGCCGATGGGCGAGGAGGGGAGTTATTCCCTCCGATAGCGCAAAGACAGGAAGGGCTCAATCTTGTGTCTAGCCTTTCTCTTTCCCTCCGCACCAAAGCTTTGAGAAGCCATTGTCTGAGGGGGCTGGGTTTATAAATATAGCCAGGCCCCTGTGTGTCAGAGAGGCTTGTGGCAAGGGGAGACAGAGAGGGGGATTAGACATCAAGCTGCCAGGTGTCATCAGTAGCGGGAGCTCTACGTCCCTCTAAGTCGAGCTCCACAGCTAAATATAGGAGGATCAGTGACCAGGACTGACTGAATCACACACCTACTCTCACTGTCAATCTTTCTCCCGCTCTCTTTCTCACACTACCCCCCTTTCATTCTTTTTCTCACACTCATACAACACCACCCCCCTAATTCAAAATGAGTTGGTAATATAGCAGATTTTGATGGCATTGTCTGCACAGTCTATTATATACATACTGTTAGTATTCACATCAATGACCACAGCCTTCAAGGATGTTGTTCAAAGAGAGATTTTGAAATAAATAAATCCCTCTATAAGTATCACCTAAGATGATCTATTATATTGACAAGATGGTCAAGTGACCACTTGAACAATGGAAATACATGTCCTCAAAGATGGAAGGCAGGCAAGAGGAGGCTAGATCAGATGGGACCATTCTAGCGAATGAGAGGTCAGATACGCGTGTGAACAACAGGCACAACTCCGATATAAAAGTTGCCGAAATGCCACGTGCATCTATTTATATCAGTGCATTTGTAACAACCTAACCATTCCGGAACTTCAAATAAGCCTCAAGTAGCAAAATACCAATTACATTTTTTGTTGACCAAATTCGACACGCTCTCATTGACCTCCATACAAACATTCCTCACTTCATGGTCTTATTTTAGTGGACAGATTCTGGTATCACTGTCAAAATTTGGTCTATAGTGTTAAAAGGGATGGGAGTCTCCGATCATGTGTGGGTCTTTGTTCAACCTAACATAGTCTTCAGACTCTGGTTAGGTAGTGGTCCTCTGTAGCTCAGTTGGTAGAGCATGGCGCTTGCAATGCCAAGATAGTGGGTTCGATTCCCAGGGCTACCTATTTATAAAACGTATGCACGCATGACTAGGTCGCTTTGGATAAATAATAATATTATTATATTACTTACACAGGAACAGGTCATAACCACAATGGCCAGGGACTCCATGATGCCGGCGGTGCCCACGATCCAGGTGAGGCGCAGGAACAGGATGACCCCCAGGATGTTCTGCAGACAGGGCAGGTACACCCCGATTAACGTGCCCAACGCAGGACTCTGAGGAGGGAGAGGGCAGGGTGACGACAGGTAAAGGAGAACAGTTTCACTATATTAATCATATTCAACTAGTATTTATAATGGATTACATTTAAGATATTGCTTTTCATTATCTGTCATGACACTTTGATATGGGGGTAATCCCATCCACCACCATAGTGTACCACACAACTATAATATTGCTCAGACCCACTATTAGGACAAAATGCACAAGGAGTGAAAAGCATCGGAAAATAGTTTTTTCTTTAACCATTAAATATTATTGTCTGGTCTGGTGCCTTATATGACACCATTGCCTTGGCCAGTCGCTTAATAACACGTTTGTATGATACATTGAACTAAATCCTTGTTTGCCAAAGATGGCAATCGAAATCAAATACCCCACCAATAAATGTGTTTTTTGATAAATACAAGAAATACATTCATTCAAGGTAAAAAATATACCAAGGAGTCATGGAGATACAGTACAAGCATTGTTGCTTGAGGAAAATGCCCCATTATCAGGGTATAATCAATAGCTTGACCTTATCGCCTCCTAGAAAATGTACAGCGAAGTAAACAGTCCTACCCTGCACCGCGATGGAACTTTCCAGAACTTTCATCAGAGGCATCCCCCTCACAGATCCATTCCATCAAAAGAGAAGTTTCGCAACAGCTCAAAAAAAGGAGGGGGCGCCGCGATTATTAAAAGAAACAGAAATGTACCCGAATATCCCAGTAGAGTACCCTCCCCTATTTCTTCAAAGGGGTGGCTGCCTTTTTGACCATCTCTCAATCTAAACCTAAAGGAAAGTCCCACTGATCCCGGTCTGAGAGTGGAGAACCGGACAAGCCAGGGGTGTCATTTTCACTCCATCCTTGGCACTCTAGGACCAATCAGAAATGCTCATCCGCATCTGGTCTCCGTGCAGAAAACATGATGGGGCAATTGGTATGGGACAGGGGCTGTGGTTACTGTGGAATTGCACCACTTGGAAAACAGTGTGGGTATTTTCTTTAGATTTTTTTGCAGCAAACAGGCTTGGAAGAACAACTTAATAAAAGGTTCCTCCAGGCTGTAACTCTGGGAGAGAAAGTATAAACGGCTGGATTGTGTCAGACCCATGTAAGAGAATGAGGCTTTTCTTAAACATCATTTTTTAAAACTTTTAAATTAATGATAAATTCCCATTGATTCTTGAAGAATATAACTTATTGCTGGTTTTCCTACTTACAAAGCATGTAGATGTCTGTAATTTTTATCATAGGCACACTTCAACTGTGAGAGACGGAATCTAAAACAAAAATCCAGAAAATCACATTGTATGATTTTTAAGTAATTAATTTGCATTTTATTGTATGACATAAGTATTTGATCACCTACCAACCAGTAAGAATTCCGGCTCTCACAGACCTGTTAGTTTTTCTTTAAGAAGCCCTCCTGTTCTCCACTCATTACCTGTATTAACTGCACCTGTTTGAACTCGTTACCTGTATAAAAGACACCTGTCCACACACTCAATCAAACAGACTCCAACCTCTCCACAATGGCCAAGACCAGAGAGCTGTGTAAGGATATCAGGGATAAAATTGTAGACCTGCACAAGGCTGGGATGGGCTACAGGACAATAGGCAAGCAGCTTGGTGAGAAGGCAACAACTGTTGGTGCAATTATTAGAAAATGGAAGAAGTTAAAGATGATGGTCAATCACCCTCGGTCTGGGGCTCCATGCAAGATCTCACCTCGTGGGGCATCAATGATCATGAGGAAGGTGAGGGATCAGCCCAGAACTACACGGCAGGACCTGGTCAATGACCTGAAGAGAGCTGGGACCACAGTCTCAAAGAAAACCATTAGTAACACACTACGCCGTCATGGATTAAAATCCTGCAGTGCACGCAAGGTCCCCCTGCTCAAGCCAGCGCATGTCCAGGCCCGTCTGAAGTTTGCCAATGACCATCTGGATGATCCAGAGGAGGAATGGGAGAAGGTCATGTGGTCTGATGAGACAAAAATAGAGCTTTTTGGTCTAAACTCCACTCGCCGTGTTTAAGGATGAGTACAACCCCAAGAACACCATCCCAACTGTGAAGCATGGAGGTGGAAACATAATTATTTGGGGATGCTTTTCTGCAAAGGGGACAGGACGACTGCACCGTATTGAGGGGAGGATGGATGGGGCCATGTATCACGAGATCTTGGCCAACAACCTCCTTCCCTCAGTAAGAGCAATGAAGATGGGTCGTGGCTGGGTCTTCCAGCATGACAACTACCCGAAACACACAGCCAGGGCAACTAAGGAGTGGCTCCGTAAGAAGTATCTCAAGGTCCTGGAGTGGCCTAGCCAGTCTCCAGACCTAAACCCAATAGAAAATCTTTGGAGGGAGCTGAAAGTTTGTATTGCCCAGCGACAGCCCCGAAACCTGAAGGATCTGGAGAAGGTCTGCATGGAGGAGTGGGCCAAAATCCCTGCTGCAGTGTGTGCAAATCTGGTCAAGACCTACAGGAAACGTATGATCTCTGTAATTGCAAACAAAGGTTTCTGTACCAAATATTAAGTTCTGCTTTTCTGATGTATCAAATACTTATGTCATGCAATAAAATGCAAATTAATTACTTAAAAATCATACAATGTGATTTTCTGGATTGTTGTTTTAGATTCTGTCTCTCACAGTTGAAGTGTACCTATGATAAAAATTACAGACCTCTACATGCTTTGTAAGTAGGAAAATCTGCAAAATCGGCAGTGTATCAAAAACTTGTTCTCCCCACTGTAGCTCAAAACATGGTTAAAACTATAATTTTTATATCATGGATGGTCAGTCCATGAGTTTGAGAGTGGTTATATTTCTCCAGCCCCATCCTTCCGCTGTTCAGCAAATCAGTGGCAGGGACTACACTTTGTTATTGTTCAAACTGTAGATTGCCCCTTTAAAGGACAGCACCAGATAAAGCAACAGAACACCAGATAAACAGAACACCAGATAAAGCAACAGAACACCAGATAAACAGAACACCAGATAAACAGAACACCAGATAAATTCAGCCCAGTAGAAAAAGAGATTGCATTAATGATTATCAATCATGCTTTTTTACCCCATGGGACCACAGGCCCCTTCAACTATCACACTGTCTCAGGAGGAGGTGCTCTGCTCAGCCTATTACACAACACCCAGACCTGGGATGTGTCCAAAATGAAAGCCTATCTCATATAGTGTACTACTTTTGACCAGAGCTCTGGTTAAAAGTAGTGCACTATATAGGAAATAGGGTTCCACTTTGGACGCCGACCTGCATTCAATTCTTGCTATTTTGACCACATTTCCTGAAGAAAACAACTGTCTGTGAGAAATATGACAAGAATGTGTTTTTGATGTCGTTGTGGTGGCCAGAGTGGTTTGATTTCTTTATGGGAGGGTGACTTTCTTGGAGCATAACAAGTATTTATTTATTTATTTGACATTTTGCAGGATGATATCTCTTGAGATGCACCATCTCATTTTCAAGAGTGTCCAAAAATTTAAATTTTAAAATACTTTGTAACAATAAAAATATGGCAACTACTGTCTAATAATAATAACAATGAAATAATGATAATGATAAAAAACGTACATTAACAGCATAAAAAAGTTGTTGTACAACTACTAATACAACTAATAAAAACAAATGCTACAACTACTAATGCAACTAATAAAACTAAGTACCTGTAATACAGACATAGGGTGCCTTCAGAAATTATTCACACCCCTTGACTTATTCCACATTTTGTTGTGTTACAGCCTGTATTTAAAATTGATTACATTTTGATTTTGTGTCCCTGATCTACACACAATACCCCATAATGTCAAAGTAGAATTTTGTTTGTAGAACATTTCTTAAATTAATACAAAATTAAATGCTGAAATGTCTTGAGTCCATAAGTATTCAACCCCTTTGTTATGGTAAGCGTAAATAAGTTCAGGAGTAAAAATGTGCTTAACAAATCACATAATAAGTTACATGGACCCTGCATGGGTTATGTTCAATAATAGTGTTTAAAATTATTTCTGAATGACTCAGTCAAGCAGTGAATTTCAAGCACAGATTCAAGCACAAAGATCATGGAGGTTTTTCAATGCTTCTGAAAGAAGGGCACTGATTGGTAGATGTGTAAAAATAAAAAAAGCTGTTACACAACAAAATATGGAATAAGTCAAGGAGTATGAATAATATCAGAAGTCACTGCACATACATTTTTATTTACAAATATCGGCACATTATGTTTCTATTAGTTAAAAACACAAACAGTTTGTTCTTAACATTTGAAAAAAGCCTTTCTTAAATTCACTGTGTGATTGTAATGCCCTGATTTCTATAGGTAAATTATTCCGGTTGGGCCTTTGTATCTGAAAGACCTTACTCCAACCTCATGATGTAACTTTTGAATTTGTAATTGCTGCTGTTGTCAAAAGGAGTCGTGTGAGTCTTGTAAAGTTAGGTGTTTCTTAATATATACAGGGAAATTTAAGTTGATACATAAAAAAAATGTCTTCTGTTTGGGAGTAACAGACAATTTAGTGATTCATATTTTGTGCAATGATGTCTTATAATGGCATCCAATAATGAATCTGCAAAGATTGTTATAAATAACATATAATTCGCAAAGTAAGGTCTTATTTGTGTTTTGATACATGATGTCACCATAGTCTAGGATAGATAGTAGCAGTTGGGTTAGTAAGTATAAAGGCAACACTGATCAATCACAGTGTAACGCATGCAGACAAACCAAGTGAGAATGTTTGCATGTCCTTTGTGCTGCACACGTGTTGCACACTGAATGTTTGCTCTGGTCAAAGACCCTGTTCTGCAATCATTAATTCAGCAGTTTTTAAAAGGGTACAAAAAATCAGGAGAAAATACGTATGATGGGATACACTAACCAATTGAAGACATTTTATAGACTTGAAACCATAGGCTGTCCCATTTACAGTACCAACAGTCTAAACCAAGCTATTTCCTCCACACTTCAGAACACACACAAAGTCCCCACGTTGAGAGGATTACATTTGCTTTGTCATTATCACCTATATCAGGCAGTAGGAGTCGGATGTGCATGGAAGTGGCTTGTGTCACTACGTGGATCTGATGTCGTAAGAAAATAATTAAAAAACATAATTGTCCACACAATGTGGAGACGACAGGCTTACCTTGACTGGTTTCTTAGTCTTGGCTGGCCCCTCGTCGTCGTCTGCCTCCTCGTGCTCTTTGACCCCCTGGGTGAGGTTGGTGTAGTTAGCCAGCTTGTTGAGCAGAGAGGATACCATGGGGTTGCTGTCCATCTCTTCCTGTGAACAAAAAATACCATAACACAAAAAGTGTCATAACACCTCTTAGCTTTCAAGCTCTCTGCATAAGGGTCAGGGAAATAACTTGAGAAGCGCAATGATGGGTGAAACGGTCAAGAGGAATTTAGAAACTGTACAGAAATCAAAGGAGATTAGAAAAGCTTTGCTGGAGCGAATTATAGTAGAGAAGTAGAAATAGATTTCACAGTCCATAATTCATGTTATTCATAGGATTCAATATAATGGATCACTACCACAGAGAGGTTAGGGCAGCCAAATGGCATTAGACAGTGCCTTTGAAAACTGGATAGAAATAACAGAGAAAGCCCCTTCCACACAGTTTTTGTCCCACTCCATTTAGCATTGAATCCCTGATCAACAGACCTAAGTCAAAGCTTAGGTCAAAGGTCAAATGAAATACCACAGATAACGTTATATATAAATCAAGGCGGTTGGATGTTGACAGTTACCTCAAAGAGGGCCATGTTCTTCCCATCGTATAGATTCCCTTTGTCATTGTCTGTGTTGTTTATGAACGGACTGCTTTCCTTTGGCATGCCATCGCCTGTGGAAGCAGAAGAGACCGTTTTTGAGAAAACAAACCTCCATCAAAGTCATTGAAGTGGAAAATAAAATGTTAAAATGACTGTTCGGCTGAGGTAAGTAAATGGATGACAAAGTAGGTTAACTGGCTGTTAACCAGAAGACTTATGGTAAAAGCTAAAACCAACCAGGGCCTGGTTTCCCAAAAGTTAATCGTTAGAACATTCGTAGGAGCATTGTTAAATCTCAAAGCTGTTTCCCAAAACCATCGTTATTAATGTTGCCTGGATAAGAGCGTCTGCTAAATGACTAAAATGTAAAAATGTAAAAAGACTCATAATCTACGCCTGCCTCAGACCACTCATAGAACAGCTAAGTGCGCCGTTTGATCATTTTTTCACCTCCCGTGTCACTTTATACATAGGAGATCTCCACTAAACATAGAATCACAGATAACTTCAGAAGAAAGTTGACTACAAATACAAAGTTGCCAATCTCTTTTCAATTGATACAAACAAGCAACGTACAGTATAAAATGATGCTTCAAATGAAAACTGAGATGACTGCATTAAAATATAAACAGTAAGCTATAGGCCTATTTGAATCATATTGAAATACATTTAATGTTCAATCAATTGAGCTCTATTTGCAGCCGGAGGTGGTACGATCTCTGTAGGAGCTGATTTGTCGTCAGTACTGTGAAATAAATCTAATGTTAAAATATACTTGAATGGAGAAAGCTGATCCGAGCTCAGCGCTCCCTTTCTTTCGATCCTATCAGTATCGACACATGTTCAAACGACGCACTTAGCGAACGTTCTTTCTGCGTGGTGTTTTGGGAAACGCATGTTAAATCTTTGGCCGCTGTAAGAAAGATGCATTGTTAAAACTCTTGAATGCCTAAGTTCCATCGTTATCAGGAAACGGGCCCAGTTTGTTTGGAAGACAACAAAATGACTCCAACATTCACTTCAGTGAGTTTCAGCTCAGCCCCATAGATTTTCTTTACTGGGACATTGGGGGCCATGATGGTGATCGATGTCTATACACTGGTGGTAATGGTTCATTGATCCAGCTATTACAGCTTGTAATGGAGTTCTGGATTAACCATGAACACACACATCCTCCTCATGGTTGAGATGGTTCAAAAACATGTAGTACGAGTATGTAATTATAGTCCGCTAGAAGCAACACATATTCATTGATTGATTACATTTTATTGACATTAAAATTAGACTTGGCTAATGCTTGAAATCCAGAAGAAAAGAGAATGTCAATAAAATACTAAAATGAAGACCGCCACAGAAGGCAGTGGCAAGTGGAGATTCTTCTTATTTAGCCACTCTCATTTCCAATGGGTTCTGTTTTAGCATTAGTGTCAGTCTGGCTAGCCGATACCATCAACAGAGGAAAAACTACTGACCCAGACAGAGCATGAAGACTAAACAAACAATGGGAATGAGTTGTTTTGATCTGTGTTACAACCAGGCCTAAAAGCCGACTTGTTACAACAATCAAATAAAATGAGAGGTAATTGTAGCAAATGGCTCAATCTTATGATTCTGTTATGCTAAATAAAGTTCCCTCAAAAAGGGTTGATAAGATGTTTTAGGACCTACTAAATCGCATTAAGCAATCACTAGGCAATATATTTTGCAATACAAGGCTCTACATTGTTCACCTAAATATGCAGGCATAATTCATCCCATATATTTTATCCAATGCTACTTTAGCTAATGCTAGTTTTCAGAGGCTAATAGGATGACATTTCCTCTTGTGAGGGCTTGTATATCAACACACAGCAGACTGGAATGTCAGAGGTGGCCTAAGGCCCACCTGAGGCCTAACAGCCTATGTGGAGAACATTCTGGCACCAAACTGTGAGCCGAGCTGGCCCTTTACCCAGCATTCTGTAGAGCATCGCGCTAAGCAAATGTTTAGAGTAAGCGGAGTAGCAGACAGCCTCTACATAGGGGGTTAAGATACCGTAGGCCTACGTATAGCGCTACTGAGACATTTACGAGCATCTCCCATTTCAACACACCCGATAGCCAGTGTCTCCTTTCCACACCCATTTAAGTAAATATGTGAGTCAACCAAATTCATTCATTCAGACCTGGTGGAGTGTGACCTGTGACTGCTGTGTGCTTTCATCTGTGCAACTTTTGCTGCTTGATCCAGCTGCTGGGAATGAGAGGCTTGCATCCTAAGCCCTGTGGTAATTGTAAAGAAAGTCAGAATGTCATTTTGTGATAGGGGCCATTAAAGTAGAGTAGAGGGTGGAGAGATTATTGCAAATAAATTGATAATGTGTGTGGGGAAGGATAACATAAATATAGGGAATGTGAGTAAATGTGTGGCGGCGTCCGAGGCAAGAGGAAGCGATTCCATGTCACACTTTCGCACTGACAGAAGGTACACGCTACAGGTAATCATTGGCTTTAATGACACTAAATCCCAATGTCATCAAATCCCCTTTGAACCGAGGGTTAATTCCTGTGTGCTGTGTCTAATATTAGTGTGGTGCGTTTCTACTTGCAGCATGCCACGTGTGTAAGGGAACCACTGTGTAAGGATGTCAATGGAGGAGTGATCCAGCAAGAATCCTGGAAGTCAGGATTGCTTTTCAATGGATGATTATAGCAACTATTTATGGCTCCAATAGCAATAGCAGGAAAGTGAAAGTAAAAATAGCATTTTAGTACTTTAGCAGACAATCTTATCCAGGTCGACTTACAGTAGTGAGTGCATTTCAAACTAGTTCATATTGGTTCCCCAGTGGGAATTGAACCCTCAACCCTGGCGTTGCAAGCGCCAATCTCTACCAACTGAGCCACACGGGACCATTTTTCTCAGAGACAATTCAACATTTGTTATTCATGTTCTGATATCATAAGCCAATCCATATTAAAGAACACCTTCAAAAGGTTCAGGTCAAGTTCATAAATCTAAGCAAAATAAAACACCTAACGAATGGTAACCAGACAACAATCCTGTATTGTACCAATTCTCAGTTTCCCAGAGCTATAAATGTAGATGCGACCAATGCCAATGACTCTGCAGAAAACCTGTATCATGTCCAATCATGAGACATCCCAGCAGACATCACAGCAGGTGATGAGATCCAAAGTCCCACAGTGAGCATCAACACATCCTCACCATGCCAAAGGAATTCACACTGACCCTGACACTCACAGGATAGGTCCATGTGCCAACTAGCCTCTGTCCAGTCCCCAACAACCGGATGTTCCGGTTTTCAGGGGAAATGGAAAGAGAGCATGTGATGCAACTTCCGCTTTTGGACGATAACAAAGCGACACTCCGTCCTAACTCCTCCTTTAAATTGACTGGATTGGTAGGACAACAGAAGAGAACCTCCCAACACCTCCCAACACAGGAGGAGGGAATAGAGAGGGACGTCGAGGGAGCAGTTGGAAAAAGTCCCAGGAGACACGGTCCAGTTCCATATTGGCTAGCCTACTAAGGCCAAGCTGGTGACCTAGTTTACGGACATGTGGGCACATCATCGCTGGCGTCATACGTGCCTATTCGTCCCTTTTCAAGGTAGGCAGCTACTCCAGGCCAGACAATGGACTGGTTTACCTCTTCAAATGAGAGAACTAGCTGGAGAGAGCGAGAGAGAGGGAAAGAACATCAGAGTGGGTGAGACGGCCAGAGAGAACACAAGAGGGAGAAATAGAGAGCGAGAGCGAAAGAGCGCGCGAGAGAGAGACATACACACAGAGGTCTGAATGAGTGCGGGTCGGGAAAGAGTATACCGTATCCATTGATGGGGCTGGCGGTTGTTATTCTCTGCAGCGATGTTGCGTGTCTCCCCATGTTGTGTAGATTCGGCTGGCTGCTCTAGAAGAATACCGGAATTCTCGTCATTCTTCTCTAAATCTGTGCACAACAAACGCTTGCACGCCATGTCTGGACCCAGGACAGCTCACATAGAAGATATGGGACCCATGCGGTGCCATTTTCACTGTGTTCTTTTGGTCGGAGTCTGTATAGTATGGATTGATGTTTCTACGTCATAGTATAAAGGTCAAACTACCACAGAGGTTGTATAAAGCTTTGCCTGGCCATGTATTAAACAAGCTAACCAAGCAGTGGTCAGTTAAGTGGTTGAGTATCTTCTGCATCGTAATGTAAGAGTCTTACATTGGGCCTATCCTTTGCAGCACTGTGTGTATGTAGGGACTGAGAAAGACCCAACAGTTAGGCCTATCCCAGTCAAAACTCTTATTAGTGAAGCAAACATCTTACTGATGCTGAAGGCCTACAACCAATGTTCCCTGTAAGCTCCCCCGGAACTGCCGCGCAGAAGAAATATCAGCGCGTGCAGAGAAACACAAGATTGAACTTCACTCAACTTTCTAGAATTTTCCCCATTAGTTAACACTTTCAACGTTTCCCTTTACTGTGGGAACTGTGATTGAATCAACGCAATATTAGCCATTTTCAATGCAACATATCGAAACAAAATGATCTATGCAAGACTTAGTATGCGAAACTAACTATACAGTGGGGAAAAAAAGTATTTAGTCAGCCACCAATTGTGCAAGTTCTCCCACTTAAAAAGATGAGAGATGCCTGTAATTTTCATCATAGGTACACGTCAACTATGACAGACAAATTGAGAATTTTTTTCTCCAGAAAATCACATTGTAGGATTTTTAATGAATTTATTTGCAAATTATGGTGGAAAATAAGTATTTGGTCACCTACAAACAAGCAAGATTTCTGGCTCTCACAGACCTGTAACTTCTTCTTTAAGAGGCTCCTCTGTCCTCCCGTCGTTTCCTGTATTAATGGCACCTGTTTGAACTTGTTATCAGTATAAAATACACCTGTCCACAACCTCAAACAGTCACACTCCAAACTCCACTATGGCCAAGACCAAAGAGCTGTCAAAGGACACCAGAAACAAAATTGTAGACCTGCACCAGGCTGGGAAGACTGAATCTGCAATAGGTAAGCAGCTTGGTTTGAAGAAATCAACTGTGGGAGCAATTATTAGGAAATGGAAGACATACAACACCACTGATAATCTCCCTCGATCTGGGGCTCCACGCAAGATCTCACCCCGTGGGGTCAAAATGATCACAAGAACGGTGAGCAAAAATCCCAGAACCACACGGGGGGACCTAGTGAATGACCTGTAGAGAGCTGGGACCAAAGTAACAAAGCCTACCATCAGTAACACACTACGCCGCCAGGGACTCAAATCCTGCTGTGTCCCCCTGCTTAAGCCAGTACATGTCCAGGCCCGTCTGAAGTTTGCTAGAGTGCATTTGGATGATCCAGAAGAGGATTGGGAGAATGTCATATGGTCAGATGAAACCAAAATATAACTTTTTGGTAAAAACTCAACTCGTCGTGTTTGGAGTACAAAGAATGCTGAGTTGCATCCAAAGAACACCATACCTACTGTGAAGCATGGGGGTGGAAACATCATGCTTTGGGGCTGTTTTTCTGCAAAGGGACCAGGACGACTAATCCGTGTAAAGGAAAGAATGAATGGGGCCATGTATCGTGAGATTTTGAGTGAAAACCTCCTTCCATCAGCAAGGGCATTGAAGATGAAACGTGGCTGGTCTTTCAGCATGACAATGATCCCAAACACACCGCCCGGGCAACGAAGGAGTGGCTTCGTAAGAAGCATTTCAAGGTCCTGGAGTGGCCTAGCCAGTCTCCAGATCTCAACCCCATAGAAAATCTTTGGAGGGAGTTGAAAATCCGTGTTGCCCAGCGACAGCCCCAAAACATCACTGCTCTAGAGGAGATCTGCATGGAGGAATGGGCCAAAATACCAGCAACAGTGTGTGAAAACCTTCTGAAGACTTACAGAAAACGTTTGACCTGTGTCATTGCCAACAAAGGGTATATAACAAAGTATTGAGAAACTTTTTTGTTATTGACCAAATACTTATTTTCCACCATAATTTGCAAATACATTCATAAAAAATCCTACAATGTGATTTTCTGGAATTTCTTTTCTCATTTTGTCTGTCATAGTTGACGTGTACCTATGATGAAAATTACAGGCCTCTCTCATCTTTTTAAGTGGGAGAACTTGCACAATTGGTGGCTGACTAAATACTTTTTTTCCCCACTGTACAAGAGATTTTGTTGTAAGCAGAACACATCGGAGTAGGATTCTATTGCATTGACAGGCACGACTCAGGCACATACTCTACACAGACCGGTGTGCCATAACCAATCAGAGCTGCAGTAGGCCTATATGCAAATAGACCATTGTATGGATCTGCCATTCACTTTGAACTGGACTGTATTTACAGCATCAGCGGTCGTGAGTAGATGCACTTGTTTAGAGATCAAAGAGAGCGCTAGCGACCACATCTGTACATTTGTTCATATCCTTTGCTAGTTAGTGAGTTATTAGCCCAGTTATAGATAATTTGTAGTCAGCAATGGGGGAGTGATTGCTTCCTACAAGAGCACAAAACATGTGCATTTCTAGACATCCTTGAAAAGCGAGTCTGGTAAAGAGCTTTATTTTATTTTGTCTTAAAGGGGCAGTGTTGTATTTTGAGACAGGCTTGAATAAGCTAAGTAGCCAATATGCAGAGGGTAGCATAATTAGTCTGATTCTCTGTAATAATGGTATGGGAATAATAATGCATTTTATTTTGTAAAGTGGTTTCTTGCATCAAACAACACAACATTTTCAGTCAACTCCTTGTCTGAAGGACAAGTGGATAAACAGGGTAATGTCAAGCCCTGCATGTTTTTTTTCAAGTCTCATGGATTGTAGGCCTACCTTGAATACCACACATTGGCTGCTACTGTAGGCTGAACGATATAACAGCTATTTCCATGTTAAAATGATATTGGATGCATTTTCTCCATTGTTTTTGATGGTAGGCCACTCTGTTAGGCCTACATTATGATCAAATAGCCACAGTAGCGTACTTGACCACTGTTAAAAATATCTCAAAGCGGGTCAGCCTTAGTGTAAACAGTACATTTGCTCTGTGATGAAAAATATTTGAGGGAACATTGCATACAACCAAAGCTTACCTTAACTTCCATTCTAAACAGCCCCTCAAAAACCAAGGGATAAGCAATTGTTATTGATCAGCCAACAGCATACCACTGCACTGTCAACAAAATAAACCAATGCAGTTTCACCCAAATCATTAGGCCTAAACAGCAACAATGGAGTTTATTGTACGTAGGGGCAGCAGGTAGCGTTGGGCCAGTAACCAAAAGGTCGCTGGTTCAAATACCTGAGTCGACAAGGTGAAGAATCTGTCGATGTGCCCTTGAGCAAAGCACTTAACTCTAATTTGCTCCAGGGGTGCCGTACTATAGCTAACTCTATAAAACAACACTGCACCTATCTGGTGTATGTGACAATAAAATAGATATAGTATTCCCCAGTAAGGCAACGGTGCTTTAAAGTCAAAGGTGAATTGATACAGTTCAATTGCAATCGTGAGAGAGGATTAGCCGTTCAAATTCAATTTACAAGGTGTCTACACAGGCAGACATGCCAGAACTACCCACGCAATCCCAGTCCATCCAATCAGAGAAGTTGCATAACTTGCACTGCATGAACTTAGCTTCAATTATTGTTATCCAGGAGTACAGCAATAGCCGACATGCCCTTTAACTCCAGTTCTCACAACTTTCCTATTCCCAAATGTTTTCATCAGAGCGAGAGGGTGCCCAACAGATTTTCGATACGAAGTTTGGCAATATTATTGCCTTTATTTAACCAGGTTTGTTATTGAGAACACATTCATATTTTCTAAAAATGACCTGAGGGCCAGACAATGAAGGGGCAGGTTCTGCAAATAATAGCCTATGTTTCTTGGGTTGACTCATTCTTACATGTTGCTCACTAGTCTTCCTGTTCTGCCATTGGTGAAAGTTGTGTAAACCCTAACCAATGTGCTCTAGTGAAGCATACAATGGCAACAATGTCTACTGTAAACAGCACTACTGAACTGAGAAAGAGACCAGAATCAAGACTAATTTTGTCCATTTATGTAAAGGAAAATTTGCATTTTACAAAGCAATGTCCCCCCAAAATTTGGTTGAGTTGAAGGAGGTTGTGAGTAGCCAATGAGTTGCCAACAGGAAGTGAGACTCCATAGAGACTCCTCTACAGCACCATCTTTCCCTAAAATGTTTGATATTTCGTTGTTCATTGCTGAGGTAAATGGTTGCAGACACAACCAAAAGTTAAACAATCTTACCAGCCACATTTTTTTTTACATCCTGGGTCATTGGGAGATGCCATTTTAGGTCCCCCATTAGCAGGGTAGGGTTAAAGAAACTATGTGGTGGGTATGCAGAGTATAATAAACCCCCTATCAGTTTCATGCAATCCCAAACCTATCAGGGTGAACTACTGTAGACAAGGTCAAACGAGTAGTGGAGGTGCCCTCATTTCCACATAGATGAGTATGGGGGTGAGACAGAAGGGGAGGGTAACGAGGAAGAGGAAGAGGAGTAGGGAGGAGGCATGTCCTGTCTGTGTTGATGAATGAATGCAGGTGCGTGAGCATTAACAATCCCTCTGTCATGACTTCGCCTAACATACACCTGTACAGATGTCACAGCAGGTTTTTTTAGACCATAGATTTTGTTGTAATGTTTGAGTCACTCAAATATCACATGAATACACATTATACATGGCAAAATTTATAGAGTTGCAATAAAATTATATTCATTTTGGGGGGGGGGGGGGGGGGGTTCTCCAATGCTGGAAGGGGGGCCTGAGTGAAAAAGTTTGGGAACCCCTGCTCTTATCAGGGACAGCAGTACTCCTTACCCTGGAAATCTTACCTTACGAGGTCTGGAGTACTGCTGTCCCTGATTATGTTTAGCTAGTATGAAAATTGGAACAGAACCGACCCACAGCAAAAGAAAACTTCAGAATCCATATGAACATCCCTCTGCAGAACGAGTCAATATTTCTGCTTCCTTCAAACAGAGAGGGTAGGAAGACAAGAAAGAGGGGAAACTACTGTGCACCTGTGCTGTGTGACTGAGCTTCAGGTAGTGGTGAACTAATGGGGGAGGCCAAGTGTCTCAGTCTCTATGGTAATAAATGGCCACACACACTATTTATAACCGCTAAGCTCCCCTCAGTGGAAGCTCTGTACAGTAAGCTTTCTAGCACTCTCAATGTTAGTTTGCCTATGGCTCACGGTACGACAGCCAGAGAGAGTGGGAGTCAGAAAGTACTCCCTTCAATCCCTTTAACACGCCTTACTACAACTCAAGCCCAATACAGACACCAAAAGTCATCCCAGGTAAATAAATCCACTTAAAATACCAAGTTTGGGAAAATCACTACTGTAAGTTGCTCTGAATAAGAGCGTCCACTAAATGACTAAAATGTAAGTGTAAAACCTTCACTTGTACAATAGAGAAATGCACACAAAACTAAACATCTCAAGCCGACAGCTACAGAAAATCTATAGAACCCCATAGAACGCCCTGTCAATAGCCATACAATAGGTTAGTACAGCAGACTTTGCAGCACATGTTAATTAGGTAGCAGCCTGGATCTAGGGGGGTAAGAAGGTTAGCGAGATAGAAGTCTGACTCTAGGGGGTAAAAAAATCCTCCAGGTGAGAGTCGGCCAGGCACTTACCCCTCCGTCGCGACTGTGAGCCTTCCCCTTGCTCCATGCTGGAGTGGAGAGAGGCCGAACAGGGGAGAAGTCCCTGTAGTGCTGCTGCTGTTATGGGGGTCCCAGGTGACGGAGGAGAGGCCGGGAGCTGTGTGGCTATGGTAGAGACGCTACGTCGCTGAGCGCTCTGTGAGTGAGGACCAGCTCAGTGTGTGTGTGTGTGTGTGACACTGGCCGACTGAGATGGCAGCAGCCACGCATCACAACCCCCCCCCCCCCCCCCACCCCGATCCTGATCATCACCGCCTCCCTCTCTCTCGCTCACACACACACTCAGAGGGGAGGAGCAGCGAAAGAGGGCCAGAGGAAGGCAGGGAGAGGGAGAAAGTGAGAGTAGGAGAGAGGAAGAGTGAGAGACACAAGTAGGAGGAGGGAGAGAGAACAGCTAGCGCTATTATATTCCAAGCCTCTGAACAGAGTGAATGTGGCTCTACTTCAGAGGAGATTTACTGCAGGTAGACAATACAGTACAGACACTCGCATCCTCTAGCACAAACGCAATTGCCTACATGCTAACACACATTCTGTCCTAAATGCCCACACGGGACATTATCCATGATCTGCCTGCCTTGAAACAAAACTGAGACCTTTGCAGGAAAGCCCTGTGCATGACTAAGCAAGTTCCTCTGGTCCATGACAAGACAGATTCATTTCAAAACAACAAAAGCTAGAGTACAATCAATGACAGAATATGTTGCAAGCTGTCAAGCTAGGTTTATAAAGCAAGGGCACGTATTGCAAGAATAATGTGAGTTAACAGAGTGGATAATTGGGTTTGAGAACACTTTATTATGAGTTTAACTGTCGTCTGACTTTCAGTTGACTTTGCAGTTGGATGTGAAGTTGGATGTTTGGAGTATAGTAGGGGATGACGCCTAGCTAAAGCTGATCAATGCAAGTTCTACTAGGGTTTGACATATGATAACTTTGCTCCTGGACTGTACGTTAGTCACATGGTACTGTAGGTGTCTGAGGTGGACAATCGAGCTGTAACCTCACTCCTGGGATTTAGGGAGGTTAGCCTAATCCCAACCTTAGATCACTAAGGTTAAAAAACCACACAGTAAAACAACAGGACAACGATATGATAGTGTCAAACAGTAAAGTAATGATGCAATTTACTGGATTTATCTCTAAATCAGTCGATGTATTGCAACAGATTTCTTTACAAAACAATAGAACCCAATCTAATATTATGTCACGCCCTGACTTATGGGACTCTAGTATGTTGAGTCAGGGTGTGGAGTTCTATTTTGTATTTTCTATGTTCTCTTTCTAGGTGTTGTATTTCTATGTTTGGCCGGGTGTGATTCCCAATCAGAGACAGCTGTCGCTCGTTGTCTCTGATTGGGGATCATACTTAGGCAGCCTGTTTGCTATCATTAGTTGTGGGATCTTGTTCCGTGTAGAGGCTTGTATTGTGTTTAGCCTGAGGACTTCACGTTACGTTGTTTTGGTTCGTGTGTTTATCTTTATAATAAACATGTATGCATTTCACGCTGCGCCTTGGTCTGACCCGTCCTTCAACGACCGTGACAGAAGATCCCACCACCAATGGACCAAGCAGTGTGCCCAGGAGGAGCAGAGAGTATGGACTTGGAGGGAGATAAGAGATGATCTAGCAAGGCAGATGGAGGCCCTGAAAGAGATCAGGGGGGAGAAGGAGAGACAGCCCCAAGAAAAAAAATGTGGGGGGCTAAATGGGTGGTCGGGGATCGACAGAGAGGAGCCCCGACCACTGCACTCATGGGGGCTCAAGGAGGAGTCCTCACTGGAGGAGGACGGGGCACGGAGTGTAAAGGACGGAGACAGTCGTAGATCTCCTGCGCCCCGTACCTGCTCCCCGCACCAAGCCAGTGGTGAGTGTTCCCAGTCCGGCCCGGCCCGTTCCTGCTCCTCGCACCAAGCCAGTGGTGCGTGTCTCCAGTCCGGTACGGCCCATGCCTGCTCCTCGCACCAAACCAGTGGTGCGTGTCGCCAGTCCGGCCCGGCCCGTTCCTACTCCTCGCACCAGACCAGTGGTGCGTGTTCCCAGTCCGGCCCGGCCCGTGCCTGCTCCTCGCACCAAGCCAGTGGTGCGTGTTCCCAGTCCGGTACAGCCCATGCCCGTTCCACCGGTGCCTGGTCCAGCACCGGTCAGCGGCTCCACTCCGGAGCCAGAGCAGTCCGCTCCACCGGTGCTTAGTCCAGTTCCGGTCAGCGGATCCACTCCGGAACCAGAGCAGTCCGCTCCACCGGGGTCTAGTCCAGCTCCGGTCAGCAGCTCCACTCCGGAGCCAGAGCAGTCCGCTCCACCGGTGCACAGTCCAGCTCCGGTCAGCGGCTCCAGTCCAGACCCAGACGTCAGCCCCTCTCCAGGTTCGGGGTCTCCCACACCAGGGCCCAGACAGGGCTTGGTGCATCGTGGGAGGATTGCCGATCCAGGTCCAGACGTCAGCCCCTCTCCAGGTTCGGGGTCTCCCACACCAGGGTCCAGACAGGGCTTGGTGCATCGTGGGAGGAAGGGAAGCAGCACGCCGAGGTCCAGACCAGACCAGGGGCGCAACGGGGAGGCTGAGAGAATGTGGTCGTCACGCCTGGAGCCGGATCCGCCTCCGAGGCGGAATGCCCACCCGGACCCTTCCCTGTTATGTCAGGTTGGTGCGGTCGGAGTCCGCACCTTTGGGGGGGGGGGGGGGGTACTGTCACGCCCTGACTTATGGGACTCTAGTATGTTGAGTCAGGGTGTGGAGTTCTATTTTGTATTTTCTATGTTCTCTTTCTAGGTGTTGTATTTCTATGTTTGGCCGGGTGTGATTCCCAATCAGAGACAGCTGTCGCTCGTTGTCTCTGATTGGGGATCATACTTAGGCAGCCTGTTTGCTATCATTAGTTGTGGGATCTTGTTCCGTGTAGAGGCTTGTATTGTGTTTAGCCTGAGGACTTCACGTTACGTTGTTTTGGTTCGTGTGTTTATCTTTATAATAAACATGTATGCATTTCACGCTGCGCCTTGGTCTGACCCGTCCTTCAACGACCGTGACAGAAGATCCCACCACCAATGGACCAAGCAGTGTGCCCAGGAGGAGCAGAGAGTATGGACTTGGAGGGAGATAAGAGATGATCTAGCAAGGCAGATGGAGGCCCTGAAAGAGATCAGGGGGGAGAAGGAGAGACAGCCCCAAGAAAAAAAATGTGGGGGGCTAAATGGGTGGTCGGGGATCGACAGAGAGGAGCCCCGACCACTGCACTCATGGGGGCTCAAGGAGGAGTCCTCACTGGAGGAGGACGGGGCACGGAGTGTAAAGGACGGAGACAGTCGTAGATCTCCTGCGCCCCGTACCTGCTCCCCGCACCAAGCCAGTGGTGAGTGTTCCCAGTCCGGCCCGGCCCGTTCCTGCTCCTCGCACCAAGCCAGTGGTGCGTGTCTCCAGTCCGGTACGGCCCATGCCTGCTCCTCGCACCAAACCAGTGGTGCGTGTCGCCAGTCCGGCCCGGCCCGTTCCTACTCCTCGCACCAGACCAGTGGTGCGTGTTCCCAGTCCGGCCCGGCCCGTGCCTGCTCCTCGCACCAAGCCAGTGGTGCGTGTTCCCAGTCCGGTACAGCCCATGCCCGTTCCACCGGTGCCTGGTCCAGCACCGGTCAGCGGCTCCACTCCGGAGCCAGAGCAGTCCGCTCCACCGGTGCTTAGTCCAGTTCCGGTCAGCGGATCCACTCCGGAACCAGAGCAGTCCGCTCCACCGGGGTCTAGTCCAGCTCCGGTCAGCAGCTCCACTCCGGAGCCAGAGCAGTCCGCTCCACCGGTGCACAGTCCAGCTCCGGTCAGCGGCTCCAGTCCAGACCCAGACGTCAGCCCCTCTCCAGGTTCGGGGTCTCCCACACCAGGGCCCAGACAGGGCTTGGTGCATCGTGGGAGGATTGCCGATCCAGGTCCAGACGTCAGCCCCTCTCCAGGTTCGGGGTCTCCCACACCAGGGTCCAGACAGGGCTTGGTGCATCGTGGGAGGAAGGGAAGCAGCGCGCCGAGGTCCAGACCAGACCAGGGGCGCAACGGGGAGGCTGAGAGAATGTGGTCGTCACGCCCGGAGCCGGATCCGCCTCCGAGGCGGAATGCCCACCCGGACCCTTCCCTGTTATGTCAGGTTGGTGCGGTCGGAGTCCGCACCTTTGGGGGGGGGGGGGGGGGGGGGTACTGTCACGCCCTGACTTATGGGACTCTAGTATGTTGAGTCAGGGTGTGGAGTTCTATTTTGTATTTTCTATGTTCTCTTTCTAGGTGTTGTATTTCTATGTTTGGCCAGGTGTGATTCCCAATCAGAGACAGCTGTCGCTCGTTGTCTCTGATTGGGGATCATACTTAGGCAGCCTGTTTGCTATCATTAGTTGTGGGATCTTGTTCCGTGTAGAGGCTTGTATTGTGTTTAGCCTGAGGACTTCACGTTACGTTGTTTTGGTTCGTGTGTTTATCTTTATAATAAACATGTATGCATTTCACGCTGCGCCTTGGTCTGACCCGTCCTTCAACGACCGTGACATATTATTACATGTAGCAAAAGGAAATGGTCTGGTAAACAGTTTTTCCTATAATTTTTCCATGAGAAACAGTGACATATTCTAAGGACCTTTTCACCTGACTTTTCAAGAAAAAGGGCTGTCAATGAGAGTGACGGGAGAGCCCATAGCCTAAGTAGTCCTAGAAAGAGTTTAACCAATCTGGTTTGAGATATAGAATTAAAACGGATACTGCCATGCCAACAAGGTACCAACATCATGGGCTGGTTTGCCAAGCTCTGCACCTGTATCCAGGCTGAGAGAGAGAACGCTTGCCTACTGTAATGCCCAAGTCCACTGCCCATTAATCACCTCTCTAAAATCATGTGAACTAGACAGTAAATCACTTAAAAAGATTAGACAAATCCTGTCCTTTTTATAAAACACACCACTGAACTCTGTGCTCTGGTAGGGACATGCAATGGCTTATGGTGGTCACTGGTCAGAGGCTAAACAGTAGTACTAGAACGACCTCGCTTTGCCATCCAGTCACTGGGATTGGATTGACTGCATCTTGATGTCCCCTCTGAAATGGCCTTGGATGAACAAGCTACACTTTGTCATTGAAGCAAAGCTGAGGAGAGTTTGATTGTCAACCTAAAGTATA